GGAGGGGAGAGGAGGGGAGGGGAGAGGAGAGAGAGAGAGAGAGAGAGAGAGAATGAATGGGAAGGGTTTGACCAGAAGTGGGCTGGAGGTAAGGCAGCCATTGTGTCATGACAGTGTGGTGAAGGCAGCAAGGGAAACCCTGGGCTGATATTCCAGTAGGCATTTATAAGCAGCATTCCAAACAAGCATCAGACCAGGGATAGAGGAGCAGCAGAGGAGAAAGTGGGCAGGTGACCTCAAGAGTGAGCATCACAGAAGCCTTTGGGCTGATTTGTTCATTCATTTGTTCATTCATTAATTCGTCTTCCAGTACCTGCCTGTCCTGGGCGCCGGACCAAAGGAGTAAACAAAGCAAGGCTCCTACCATCAAGGCTAGTCAGACATGTCAATTGCTGGTTCATTCAGAACAGGGTGGGAAAGCATTTTGAGAGAAAGTGGCTTTTAGGTAGGCTTTGGAAGATGTGTAAATAGATGTTCACAGGGTATTGGAAAGGGGCTAAGGTAATTTAGGCAGAGAAAGCAGCAGGAGAAAAGTGGTGGTACTCTAAGGGATGTGCGGAAGACTAAGGACTGTGATATGGCCAAAGCATGGGTGCCTTGGAGTGGTGTGATGGGGCCAGCAGGTGTAAGGCTTTGAATGCCATGTTCACGGGTTTGGCTTTTCTGGGGACCCATCCTCAACTGTATCCACCTAAAGAACTAGGAACCAAGTGATTCCAGATCACCTGGCCCTACCAGTACCTTCCAGAAGTCTATGCCCCCTTCTGCCACGGTGAGGCTCCATCCCCTAGAGATGGTAGGAATGTTCAGCCTCAAAGGAAAGAAGAAAGGCCCCAGGCTGATGGAGACCTCATGGACATCCTGAAAGTCATGACTTGGGGCCCCTCTCCAACCTGAGCATATGCTCAGACTCTATGTGAATGGTGGGCTGGCTCCTCTCTGGAGCTGCTGCTCAGTGCTGGGGCCTCCTTTAGTCTCACCATGGAAGTGCTATCCTCACCTTCATTCTGCAGAGAAGAGAGCTGTGTGCCCATGAGCGCATCTCTGCCTTTCAGGAACCATTGCTATTTCTTTCAGCTTTCATAGGTACGGCTGAGTCAGTATCTTAGGTCAGGAGGCAGACAGATGGGCAGGAACAAGGCACCTCACGCCTTCTAGCCTCCATCTTCATCTGGAAAGTGGTCAATAACTCCTGTCTCCCAGGGTGGTGTGGTTGACACACTGAGCATGGAAGCCCCTGGCATATGGATGGGTAGTAGGTAAATGGGACAGAACAAAGCCAGAAGCCTCCCGGCTGAGGCATGATACAGGCTCCAGTGGGTGCTGGCCTGCTTCCCTCAGCCCCACTGGTATGGAAAGCTAGGGAGGCGACCTCAGGATGGGAGGTCTAGTTACATGCAGCCTGTCACTTTGGAACCCTCAAATTCTGCCCTGGGGTCTGAGCATTAGCCTCTGAGAGTGGAGTGGTCTTGGCCCGATCACATGTGTGTGGGCTGCTCCCTGGCCCACACATCTGGAGGGCCTAAGAGCTAGGCCCACAACCGGACCCAGCACATCCCAACAGACCTCACACAGACATACATGATGTGCACTGCTCTCAAACTAAGGTGCCCGAAGAAACTCAGACACATGACATGCACAGAGCTCGGTGCATGCAGATGCAATGAGGTCCACAACTGCATACATGAAGACATATGGATGCACAGATGGACAGCACCGATACTGAAGATACATAAATGCATGCAGATACAGTGACAAGCCACAGGTACATAGGTACAGGCACGGGCGCATCGCCGCCTGTCTGCTAAGGGGCCTGTGAACTCTGATGTAAATGTAAATGATGTACACACAACCACACAGGTCAGTTCCCATAGGCCTGAGTGCCTAAATCGTGCCTGTCCCATGCCTCTCAGTTAGTGTAGCCTTGGCTCCTGCCCCTTCTGTTCTAACAGCAGCTGTAAGGTGGACAGGGCAGTGAAGATCTGAAGGCCTAGAGACATCAAATGCCAGCCACATCACACACTCATGGAGGGAAAGCTGAAGGCTGGTTTGAATTTGGGGCTCCTGTGTCCGTCCATAGCTGGAGAATCTATCCCATGGATTCAAACAGGGTATGCACAGCTATGCACCCAGAGGGCCCTCACCAGTCACCCAAAACAAATGCTCATGTCACAGATGAGGAAACGGAGGCCCCGAGAGAACTTTCCCAGGCCTGAAGTGACCCACATTGAGAGGCCGTGGAGAAACCATGGCTTCCATCCCCACACCAGCCTGTGGCTGTACCAGGCGCATGGATAAAAGCACAGAAGCTGAGGGCACAGGACACAGACATACATGCGGGTCCTCCCCACACAGTGTCCTGTGGGCTCACAGGGCTAGATGTGACGCTTCCACAGACCTCATTTAATTTTCACATGACATGGCGGCGGGGGCGGGCAGTGAGAGCAACTGGACCCATATTGTATTTGAGGAAAACAAAGCATAAAAAGATTAGACTCAAAGTTGTGCAGGTAGGGACAAATGGTGGCATCTCCTGAGCCAAGTCTGCACACGACACGTCCCTTACATGTCTTCTATACCTTGTACACGCTGATTCATGTACACCAGGCATCCTAGATGCAGGGTACAGCAATCCCCAGAGAGAACATTTTCCCAGTAACCCTCCATTCAAAGTGATAGCGTTGTTTGTTTTCCCCCTCCCAAGGCTCTTTTGAACTCTGAAATTACCCATGTGGGATTTGGTGACCATTCTTTGGTGTGAAAGTCACTTTAATGAATTGGTTATGGGTTTTGGTGGTTTTATTTTTCTGTAAGATATGTGTCTCATTTTTCCAAGAACGAAGGGATTCTCAGCCTCCCTCACTGGCCCTGGATTCTGGGCCAAGGCCAGGACTCCTTATACAGTGCTTCTAAGATAGTGAAGGCTTGGGCCAGCTAGGGGAGAGGCAGGTAAGGAGACAGCACACTGTGCATTTCCTGTGGGCCAAGCACTATGCTAGGAATTTAAAAAATCCTTCCTGTGGGCCTTGGCCCTCTGCTGTGCAATGGGACAGTGATCCTACAGCAGGAGTAATGAGCTCCCATGATAACAAGCTCTCTGCATCAAAATGATTTCTCTGGAATAAAGTGCTGTGTGGGAGAAAGCAAATATTTCTATTTTTATTGCTTTGTGTAAGAGGCAAGTTTACCCCTGTGACTTGTACAGGACGTACCAGGTAGTATCACTCCTGGGCTCTTATTAATGAGCAGCCAGTGGCCCTCAGGGAGCTCAGCAAGAGTCTTTTGTAAGAAGTGGGACAGGGTGTGTGTGGGGGGGTATGGAGTGATACAGGAGCCTCAGGCTGGTACAAGCACTGCCCCACTCTGTCTGCTCCTTAGGGCCGGGCCACGGCTTCTCCTGAGCTCCAGGGCCCACTAGAGCTCTGGCGAGCTTTGGTGAAGGCTGCCTTGATTTCTTTGTTTATGAGGTCCTGCCAGGGGTCTCTGAGGAAAAAGGAGAAACAAGAGCTATAAACCATTCCCCAGAACAACAGCCTTGGGCATTCAAAGCCTGATGTAGAGCTGGTGAGTAGCTCCTTTCTCTTCCCGTGTGTCCTGCTCCCACAGAATCCCTGCCCTGGGCACATCTCCTTTCCCCACCTGTGAACTTTAGGGAAGTAGGTGACACATGTTTTCTTCAATGCCACACAGAGGCTGCATGTGTGGCTTCCAGGCCAGTGACCTCCCAGGACATGAGGAGCTGGCCCCAACTCTGTCTCTTACTCTGGACATGATCTTGGGAGGCTGGGAGGCTCTGGGTCAAGAGTTCTGTGACTGTCTGGGTGTTATGCAAATTATTGTAGGGTCCCTGGATTCCCAACCCAAATAACTTTCACGTTCTCATTTGCTGCTTATGGGTGCCTGGAGCACGTAGATCCAAGTCATTGCCTTACACAGACAACAAAGCAAGCCTCTGAGTGACAGCCAGCATCTCACATCAATCAGGCAGGGGACACTTCTTTTTCTGTACTGCAATTAATCACCACTCTCCTACCTCCCGGAACTCACATATGCCGGGCAAGCTCTCTACCATTGAGTTACATCCCCAGTCTTAGGGGGACACGTTTGAGCCTGGTCCATAGGGAAAGGGCCGAGAAGAAGCCACTTTTTAGTGTCTTTCTGACAGGTGACAGAGGCACTTCTCTGCACTCTGCTGCTTGGCTCTGGGGTTACACCAAGGCATGGTTGGGGAAAGACTTGTCCTCTTCCCCTGACCTCCAACAGCTTCTCCAAATATTCCCAAAGAGAAAGCTAAAAAACTTCTGCAGATATGGGAAATACATATGAAGAAGATAAACGCACGTTTATAAAATTTGGCTTTGAGGAAGACTCAGTTGCAACATTCGATTCAGGTAAAAGTCTTGTCAATACAGCCCAAGACAAGTTCCCATCTGGCTGACACCTAAGGCCCTCTTGCAGAGATACTATCTGCCTGTGTCATATCCAGACAAGCAGAGGGGTATGTGGCATTGTTTCCGTGCGTGTACACACCTGGTGCCCATCAGACATAGTGTGTTTTTATACATCTGTGCATGTATGCATGCTGTGGACCCCTGTGATGGGGGATCTGAGTACAGTCTCCCTGCCTGGAGGTCAGGGAGTCCCTCAAGTCAGGTTGTTTGCAACTAATACCCACTCTCCCTCCTCCCTGAGCCAAGGAGAAACCATTTTTGGCACTATGTAAAGTTTCTGTTTGAGTCGAAAAGCCTCAGCTGAGGGAGCTCAGGATGACAAGTGGCTGCCAGACCTGCAGGTTCCCAGTCCCAGGATGATGTGGCCAGGGAAGACTTGACTTTTCCAGCTGAAAGAACAGAACTGGGCTGGGAGCACGGCGGGATGGTGTTGTCAGAGCTCATATTCCCTGGGCACTGGGCACCAGTGGGTTGGGGCGCAGGTCTCCTGGATGTCCTGGCTCTCAGGGCACTTACAGAGTAGAGTTCCACAAATGCAGCAAGAAATATCAGGTAGTGCTATACAAGTGCTATAGAGACCCCCACCTGGGGGGGACTGGAGGGTGACGGCAGGGCTCTGTTCAGAGTGTATGACCAAAGCCACCTCTGATAGAGATAGTATCTGAGTGGAAACCTGCATGATACGAAGGGGCAGGGTGTCCCAGGTGTAGGATATCCTAGGTATAGTGAACAGTGAGTCTAGAGGTGAGCAGAAGCAAGGGGCACTTTAGGGAGCAACCAGCAGGCCTATGAGTGAATGGTGAGCAGTGGGAGGTGGCAGAGGAACAGGGCCACCAGTCAGGCACTGGTTGGACTCAGCAGAGACAGAGTGCTTGGGAGTCTGGCTTTAGTCCTCTAAGCAGGAGGATAGCCCAGGAGTGTGAACAGCAGGAAATTTTCATATCCATCATGTTTGTGTTTTTAAAAGATCTCTTTGGCCCCTAGGTGGATTAGGGGAAAGCGACTTGGAGCCCGGCAGGTGAGGTGCGACAAGATGGCCCGGGCAGAAGCATGGAGGTGGGAATGATGGAAGCAGGGCCGCAGAGTGTGTGGACGAAAGCCTGAGAGGTCCCGATTTGCTGGCAGAGATGGGCTGGGTATCGAGAGATGGAGTGGCCCAGGACAGAGTGCAGCTCTCTGACAGAAGATGGCGAGGCCGTTGGTGCAAAGGACTCTGGAGGAGGAGCAGTTTCAAGGGAAGGTGGGATTTGCAGTCTAGGGGGCTGTGGGAGCTCCATGTGGAAAGACAGGGGCAGCAGGAAGGGCAGCTGGAGCTCAGAGGGACATTTGGGCCTAGTCATACAGTGGGGGTGTTGTCTGTATGGCAAGGAAAAACCCAGAGTGGAGAGGGCCTAGGGGTCGGTGGAACCTCAGCATTTAGGGTTGGGAGGCAAGGGGAGGAGCTGGAGGCATCCCCGAGGAAGGAGTGTGGAGGCAGGCCAGAGAGTACTTCCAGGGAGAGCGAAGGCAGTGGGGGAGATGCCACAGGGCCATCAGTGGGAACTAAAACTTCCCATGGACCTAGTGACACAGAAGGAGGTCACAGGTGACCTTCCAAAGAGCCTTCTGGACTGGCAGGGGTGGAAGTCAGCTGGTGGGGGCCAGAAGGAAGTAAGGTTAGCATGAGCAGGTAGGCACCTTCTGAGAAGCTGGGCTCTGCACAAGGGCAGAAGCTGTGGATGGGCCTGGTGTCTCAGACATAAAGCAAAGAGCGGAAGGGCCCTGGCCTCTCTCCTGGGGCTGAGGGGGCTGAGTCTGCCTTGGCACATGGGAAGAGAGCTGGACTATAACGGAATGGCCACAAGGGCCCTCAGGGGCCAGGCCTGCGGGGGGGAGCACCTACCTGAGGTGACACTATCAGAGAGCTCAGGTTGGGCTTATTTTGGCTGCAGACCTGGCTCCTGTCCTCACTGTGGGCTACTGTCCCAGCAGCCATGCACACAGCAGCCTACAAAGGGGTGTGTGTGGGGGCACTGGCTGGCTGGAAGAAGCCTCGTCATAAACCTCGGCTGCTTCTATGCCTAGGAGGCTGGTGTAGAAAGGGACCTCTGTGTACTCTTTACCCCCACCAATGGCTGTGGCCTCATTCCTAAGCTTGCTGGGAGGCCCTGGGCCTGTTCTGTGTAACAAGAATAGGTGGCATGGCACTCTGAGATGAATGAGGTACCAGCTGACCCCCCAGGCTCCCTGGGGCCTTGAGGCTTTGGGTACCCAGACAGAAACCTCAGACAGGAGATGAATGCTATGGGAGTCTTTCTCCCAGGATGCCCCTAAGCAATCTGTCCACTCAGAGGCTCAGCCCAGCCTGCTCAGCCTACCTGGTCTCTTCCAAGGAAGTCCACGTATATCCCGCATATCTTTGAGAGATAAGAAGGATGGCTTTGGGATGGAGTCATCCTGGGACAGCTGAGAGGGGCCAGTCAGAAGTTTTGATGAAGGAGAAATCCAAGGCAGGGAGAAAACAAGTCTGTACTATGGCCCAAGCTCTGGTGTGGTTGTTTTGGGGCCCAGGAGGACACTGCATCTCTCTGCTCACCCTCCTTCTAGTGGGATGACTGTTGGTTCCAGTAACCCTGGACCTTCTTGGCCATTGGCAATACTATACCCTTTGCTCTGTGGCCCTATGGTCCTAGAGGACCAGTGACAGAGGGAAGTGCCAAGCTTTTAGGGGATCTGCTTGGGGGGGGACTAAAGGGTGAGGGCTCTTTTGATCTAAAAACCCCATATATGCAGAAACAGTCTGAAAAGTAACAAACACACGTAATGTTTACTACAGCTCACCTGTGGCCAGCCCAGAATGGAAGAACTCTACGTGCTTAACAATGAGAGAGGCTGAGTGTGTGGTTGTGGCCCCCTGACCAGCTGCTCTCCCTGGTCGGAAGCTCTCTGAGCAGGTCAGGTGTTATGGGAGCACAGGACAGCGTGAGTGACCCTGGTGGCCTGACCCAACCTGGCTGTCTCCCAGGAAAAGGTGGTGGGTATTTGAAGATTATTTGAAGCTTTCCATATTTTCCAAGTTTTCCCCTAGTAGGCAGGAAATAGTTTTATATTCAGAAAAATAACAAGTACCCAACTTGAAGCAGAAGAGTCCAGCCTTTGGGAGGTGCCTCTTACTTACCCGGGTTTGATGTGCAGGGGTGCAGGCAGGGGCCTGGAGAAGCCTGCTTTCCCTACCAGCCAGTAGGTCTCCTCCATGCCCTTTCCCTGGAAGAGGGAGGAAGGGCGTCAGAGCTCCCTGCCCGGCCCAAGCCTTTGGGGGATGAGGAATGAGGAATGAGCTGGGCCCCGACAGCTGGGCAGAGAGTGGCCTGGAACCTGGGGGAGGTTGTCTGGGCCCAAATCAAGCCTCTGCCTCTCATCAGCTGTGTGATATTGGCCAACTTATTCCACATCTCTGCCCCTCCCCTTCCTCTTTACCTCACAAAGTGATCATGAAGATTAAACAAGTTAATATTCATCAGTTAATGAAATAAAGCAAGAAGGAATCATAAACCCTGGCCCACAGGCCCAGGATGCCAAGACCAGAGGATTGTAGGACCTGATGATGTCCCTTCAATGAGGAAGAAATTGGCAGATTCCTGAGGATGGAGAGCAGCTGCCTGGAGATGAAGGGAGTGAGTATGAGGGACAGTGAGGTCAGGGCTGGCCTCTAGCACTCTAGACCCTGAGCTGGCCAGGCTTTGTGGGATGGGTGTTGCTCCAGGGAGCCCCAGCCAGCGTCAGGGCCCTGAGGTCAGTGCAGCCCTCCCAGCCCTCTACATGCCAGTCTGGACCTCTGCTTCTTGGAACACCCAGCAATCCCTACCCCCACCCCTCTGCCCAGCAAGACACAATGTCACTCCCCAAGCCCCAGGCATCCAGAGCACAGGGTGCCACACATGCTGGTCCTTGCCGGCTGTGTGCCCATCCACAGGCTGCTGCCCCTCTCTAAGTTGCACCCTCCTTCTCTGACACCACACAGTGAAATGGAGCTCCACAGAACACTCAGTTTCCAAGCCAGTCACTGCCTTGGGCCTTTAAGCCAGCCCATGCCTATCTCCTCACTAGGCTTGGCTTTGAGCAATTTGGGGAAATAAAAGGAGGTGGGTAGGAAGAAAATTCATTCTCAGCCTTCAAGCTGCTCATGGAGAAAGTATACCCAATATTATGCTAAACAGTGAAGTGTAGGGCCCATGGATGCACAGAGAAGCTTGTCAGTCACTTCTAGGGGAAAGAAAGAGGGTGCTTCCTGGGCCAGGGCAGGCTTTAGTGATTGGTGGCATCTGCACTGGGGTTCTGAGGAATGAATAGAAGCCTAACAGTGCTCTGGAGAAGGCACAGGATTTAGAGCTATCAGATCTATATTATGAGCTGTGTGTCTGACACAAGACTTTTCTTATCTAATTAAACTTTTTCAACTGTAAAATGGAGACAAGGCTACTACTTCAGTATTGCTCGAGTAGTGAATTTGTTGGTGTCTGTTTTGCCCCCATGTGTCACCCAGGTAGACCATCAATACAAGGTGACATCTCTGGTCTAGCTCTTCCTTTCACAAGGATCTCAAGGGCTCCCTCCCAGGAAGTAATATTCCTTAGGATGTGGGGAGCAGAGAACACATGTAAAGATGATCATTTACAGCCCTCACTCTAGACAGTCACGTTAGTGAGATGGGAATCTCTCCTGCAGCCTGTGGAAATCAGACCTGGGGGACCAGGACATTCTCTCACCTTCAGCTCTGTCTGACCTCTGACATCAATTTTGTAGCCTTCATCAAGGCTGAGCAGGGCTTGGACTGTGCTTCGGCTGATGTGGATTCTGTAGGCTGAGAAGAGTAGTGACTGAGTCACCCTGTGGTAGCAGTGAACCTAGCATTTGGTAAAATCATTAAGAGCTCAAGCAGCAAGAGCTCCATCCAATCCTACTCACAATTATGACTTACACAAAACCCTCTGGGCTTCTTATCTCTTTAGATAGTTGGTCACTAAGAGAACCCAAGGAAAAGCAAATTACATAGATTGTTAAGTGGGACTCAGGATGAAGTCAGAACCCCTGGGAACATAATATTTATTTGTAGGGAAGTCTGTAAAGGCTGAGCCAGAGAAGACAGTTTTTGTTTTCTTTTTGAGCAGAACTCCCCTGTTGTGGACTGCACAGCCTATACAACTGGAAGCAGAGGCCTTGGGACTTCAACATTTTCAGTTTCTCTAACAAGCCAGCCAATAGCTCCTGCTGCCAACAAAGGCCCAAAATGTTGGGGCTGCCTACATGGTAGTGTTGGGGCTTCCCTAGCATAATGGAAGGTGCTATGCAGTCAAGAAAAAAATTCCAAACTGAAATGGTCTCCTGGTAAAATGTGGAGACGGAGGCCTGCAGGAGGAGCATTCTTCTCACAGATATTACGCAAGCTGGTTGCAGACCCAGGGCTGGGCCCTAGTTTCCTCGTGTTTTGAGTCATTGTTTTCTCTGCTAATTCCCTCATGAAATCATCATAAATACCCTGTGGAAAATGAGACGAACCAGGGACACGCTTCATCTCCTTCCAGTTGCTTTACTAACAACTAGGGTATGCTGTCACCAGGTGGTGACGTGGTGACTCAGCCCTGTTGCGAATAACCAGGCTGTGCAGCTTATTGAGAAAGAGAGTCCCTCCCCTGGCCAGGACAGAGCATAGATACTCACGCAGGCCTGTGGACTCCATCCGGGATGCAGTGTTGACAGTGTCCCCAAAGAGGCAGTACCGAGGCATGGTGACACCCACGACCCCTGCCACACAGGGCCCTGAAACCCACATGTACCTGGTGAGCTCCAGCGGGCTCAGACCAGACAGTCCCCACTTCCAGAGGCAGGCCCCTCCAGGGTCCCCACATACTGTCATTCCCCTGGGTTCCAGCTGGTGGGAAGGACAGTGCTATCTGGCGTCTCCACAACACCCACCAAGACAGAAGATGTGACCTGCTAGGCCCTGGGCTGGGAACCCAGATAAATCAGAGCCAGTCCCTGCACTTGGGGAGCTGTTTGAATTGTGATCATTGCTGGCATGAGGGGAGCACTATGCTCTCCCAGGAAAGGACCACCAAGCTGGTCCAGAGGACTTTCTGGAAGAGGCTAAATGTGGGTGCACCTTGGAGGATGACAGGAAGGGTGGGCAGAGAGCATCAGGTACAAAGGCACAAAAGGAGAGCCCACAGTCTGTGGAAAACTGCAAGGAGTTGAGGGTGGATGGAAGGCCGCGGGGGGTGGGATGGGAGACTAAAAAGAGAGAACTGGGGCGTGATAGAGACTCTGGGTCTCTTCCAGATCCTTCTCAGCCAACATCTATTTGTTTGCATGGCCACAAGATTTCTGTTCTGCCTCTTCTATCAGACTATTGGCACCTCTACATAGAATCAGATGCCTTTGATCAGATAGATGGAGACTAAAACACTTGAACAACAGAAAAAATTTGTGAACTTGAGATAACAGTAGAAAATATGGCAACCAAGTTTTTCTGGCAGAGTTTCAGGATCTCAGAAATCCAGAAGCAGCCATTGGGCCACCCCAGCTGATGCCCCAGGGAGGGTTGGGAGGCTGACCATCATCACCCGAAGTCAACCCCTGTACCTGAGTGCAGCCCAGCCCTGATATGAATGGGTACATTGGGCGCATGCTGCATCCGGAAGCCACCTACAGAGCTGAGGATGTCCAGGGCCATGTTGGCAATCTCGGCTGCGTGCCGGCTCCCATTGCGCTGGGGCAGTCCCGAAGCCACCATGTAGGCATCCCCAATGGTCTCCACCTGGAAACCACAGCCCCCACACTCCAATGTGAGAACACATCCTTCCTGGTCTGTTCTACATCTGACCACACAAAGCCACCTTTCAAGAGCTCCCAAGCCCACCCTGTGGATCTTTGGCCCCCAGTGCCATCTCTGCTAAGTCCGGGAACTTCGGCAACTTCTGCCTATAGCACGTGACCATGACTTTTTCTCTGGTGCAGGCCATGAGCTCCTTGGCAGCAGATCTAGGGGTCTCCTATACACAGCCATGAGGGCTGATCAGGATTCATCTTTATACAGAGGGCTCATGTATGGGCACCTCCTATGTCCTAAGCCTGCTGTCCTCCAAGGCATACTGTGGAGGGCCTGAGAGAGGAAGACAGGAGAGAACCCATGTGTCAAGATATCTTCTCCTTTTCATCATGGTTTTGGAGAAGGCACAGCCTCAGAACCACCTGATTGGATAGGATGTTAATGATCACCCACCTTGTCTCCCATAGCTGCACATCTTCCCCAGCTGCTTTATGGGACAGGCATTTCCTTGGGGAGCCCCAGGCCAGTATAAGAGACCCGGAGCTTGTGTGCCAATCTTGCCAGCCCTTTCTGTATCTCTCTCTGCCATCTTGGACCTCTGCTTCTCAGGACACTCAGTGCCCCCTTGCCCAAGGAAGACACCTGGCCCTGACTTCTCCAGCTTCCTCCCTAAGCCCCAGGCACAGGGTGCCCCACATTCTGGTCCTCACAAAGGGGCTGTGCTCAGAGAGGCTGTCAGCTGCCAGGTGAGGGACATGGTTCGTGGTGCTCAGATGTGTCCCCTCTCACACACAGGTGGACACAGCTGGGAGTGGAGAAGTGAGAGCAAACACACTAACAAGTACAGATGTGAATTCTAATTCCTCCACTGAATTGCAGTGTGAACTGCTCTGAACCTGGGTCCTCCTCTATGGAGTAGGGAAAATAATCCATTCTACTGAAGGGCATGGAAAAGGTTCGATGAGGTGCCCTGTGAAAATCCTTTGGCTAAGTCTGCCCTTGTGGGGCCTCTCCCCTTCTCTGCTGGGGCTGGCGGTGGGGGCAGGTGTTAAGCTCCAGGTGCTGCAACATTCAACCTTATGTTGCTAAGTGGATGAAGGAAAGTGTTTTCGTGTTTCTTAATGTCAATTCTAACCCACAGGCATTTTCATCTCTGTTTTACAAATGGGGCACTTTGGGCTCGGAGTGTTGGCAGGCCCAGGATTGCCTGGCCACGTGGCTGGTGCAGATGTACACCCCTGTCTCCCTGAAGTTCCCAGGGACTCTGTTTTGCACTGAGTGTGCTCATAAAAGTGTGCACTCAGCACAGCCAGTGCTGAGAGGGAGCCCCAGACCCCTGCAGAACCAGGAAATGACACCCAGCTGCCTCCCAAGCCAGCTGGATTAAACAGCGTAACCAGATCCTGCTGGGGGTGGAGGGGAAAGTTAGGCGGCTGGCTGGAGTGATGAGAGATACATCGCACATCACAGGGAACAGGCCTCCTGTTTCCCACATCTGGAAGGGGTGTAGGCCGTGTTTTACTTCATTTCCCTCTTTCAGAAAGACACAGGCCTCTTGGCCAGAGTTCAGAGCAGAGCAGCACTGTGATTCAGAGCTGGGAGGGACATGTGTGAGGAAGGATCAGCGGAGGGGGAAGAGACAAGGCTGGGTGACTCAGGGTGGATCAAAGTTGTGGGGCTTGGCAGGATGGGACTCAATCTTTTCCTGGGCTCATGGGGCCAGACAACCATGGAGGCAGGAGAAAGATACCAGCATGTGAGAAATGCTTGGAAATGTGGGCCAGGGAAGGCGTGGGGTCCCTCATGGCAATGGAAGTGAGGTGGTATCCTTGGATGTCAGTGTCTTGGGTCACTGAGGGCCAATGTTGGGTTCTGTCTGCAGCAGACAGGACACCTTGGGCTCCTGTTCGTTGGCCCCTGTCTCCCTGGAGGGCTGTCGTATGTCCCAAGATGTGGTGTCCCCATCTTCTCCACCATGTATGAAGCAAACCCCAGGCCTAGCATCTGGATTAGAGAAAGGGATAGGGTTGAGGTGGGGAGGTCCACATGGCATGGTAAAGCCAGAGAGCAGAAAGTGGGAGGCAACTACTCTCATAATCTGTTTACGAGGATGTCCCATGGGGGACAGGATCCTCCTATCATCTGTGAACCTGCCAAGACTGAGGATCTTACTCCTATCCACAGGCAAGGGAACTTACCCCTTCCCCAGGGAGGAAGCTGTTTGTGCAAAGCCACACAGGAGCTGGCAGCCAGGCTGAGATGTGAACCCGGGATTTAGAGGTGCACAGGGACTGGACCATGGAGGGCCTTGATGGCTGTGCCAGGACCTCGGCTTCCCTCTCCAATGTCTCTCACCCCCAACCCACTGCTGGCCTACCTCATGCTCAGCTGTTGAGGACCACTCAGTATTCCGCACTCACCAGGACAGCACTTTTTCCTGGGAGCTTTCTTTGTTCTTACTCCACATACATTCCCCTAGCTAGCACGGTCTCCTCTTTGCCTCCTTGGGTTCCCCCAGTCATCACCTTTACTGGGGGTTGTCATCATCTCTTACCTGCAGGACTGTGAGTCCCTTGAGGGCAGGCACCAGAGTCATTTCTTCTATCTGCCCATGCCCAGCAAGGGTCAGGAACCAAAGGTCCTGCCAGTAAATGTTAAAGGGATGGATGGCTGGGCAGTGAACAAGTAAACACATGCCAGATAAATGGAAAATTGTCCACACTTTCCATGCTGTCTAGATCCACACCCATGGCAATATGACTCTAAAGCTTCTCCCATCAAGAGGTGGAGTTCATTTCTCCACATTTGGGCAGGACTTTTCCTTTGACCACTAGAATATATTAAAAGTAGTAATGTTCTGATGCCAGCGTAGAGCTCAAGAGGCCTGTGTTCCTCTGTTCTCTCTCTCCAAACCCAGCCATGCTGGGGTCTCCCAACCAAGGTTTCTAGCCAAGAGATGTGGAGGACTGCCTAAGATCAGCAGAGCTGCCCACCTTGCTCACAGCTGACCACAGATGTATGAATGAGTCCAGAAGAACCTTTCACCTGACTCTTAGGCTTGTGACCAATAGTAAATACATATTTTAAACTGATGGACTTTGGGTCTATCTGTTACACAGCAATAGATGACTGATATAAACACATAAATGGGTGAATGGAAGTAAATGTTCAACACAGACATAACAGTAAAGAGAGGAATAGAATGCTAGCTTCCTCTTATTCTCACCTTATATACATCATAGCTGCCCAGAACAGTATCATACAGTGTATAGAGGTCATGGAGCAAGCCCACCACCTCAATGGGTTCACTCAGGGCTGAGATGGTAGTGAAACCCACAATGTCACTGAAGTATATGGTAACCTGGTCAAAGTACTCTGGCTCCACAGTTGCCCCCATCTTCAGAGCTTCAGCCACAGACCTGAAGGGATGGAAGGGGCCAGAGTCATAAGGCTGGGGGACCCTTTTTTCAGTTCAGAGGTCAGAGAGGGATATTTTGGAGCAAGTCGTGGGTTGAGTGTTGGGGAATCTGTGACAGTCCTGCTGTGTGCTGGCTGTCCCGCAGCAAGTACCTCTCCTTCCCTGGGCCCGACTTTCTCTGAAGTGCAATGGGTACCCCGTGTCCCTCTCCTTCTCCCAAAGGTACAAGAGAGCAGAAGTTCAACCCTGGCACGCCCAACACAGTGCCTGGCACTTGCTGTTTAATAAATAAACAGGAATGAATGACTGAATGAATTCATGGGTCCCAAATTTTCTGAGTACCTACTATGTTCCAGGATGCCTTAATTGGAGCTGAGGCTAGAGGCACCCTTGAGTCCCAGGAGTCACTTACAGGGGGAGCATCTGTGAGAGCAGCCTTTCTGTCTTTCGCCTCTCCAGCTCCAGTTCCTCCGTTCTCTCCTGGACCAGGTCCTCCAGGCTCTGGGAATACTTCTCCAGCATCTGCAGCATGGAATCGGCAACATTGCTCGTCTTGCCTTGGCTGATGCTTTTGAACTGAAGATGGAATAGAAATTTCAATTCATCCCTAAAAGTCAGTGTCCTGGCCCTCAGCCTGGGAGTCTGGTGACGTGAATGAGCCCAGTGTAGCCCCAGACTGGAGGAATTGGGTTGTTGGGGGAGTCAGATTTGGAAGTATATGGGTGGGTGCTGGGGTGGCTATGACAAGGCAAAGACACACGTGGCTGTGAGCAGAAAGGCGGGGAAAAGATTTTGCAGCTGGTCTTGGACACAGCAGGGCATTATCACTAGCAAGTGTATCACCCTGCTGCCCACTTCCTCACACAGCACTGTGAGGTGAGGACTCTTGGTGGGGGGGAGAAGGAGACAGGTGGGGAGAGTAGGTCGATATATGGATGGGTAGATAAATGTATAGATAAAGTATATGTAGAATATGTATGTATTTATTTATTTATTTATTTATTTATTTATTTATTTATATTCTCTATTTCTAATCCTCTATTCCTTTCCTTATTCCAAAACTAAAATTTTAAGGGCCCAGAAGAAAATAAGGCAGTACTATAAAATAGAACACTAAACATGTGAGGACATTAGAACCAAAGATTTTTTTTTGTAGTTGCTAAGAAAAGGTTATTCCTGTAGTGAGGTCTATATGCAAAGTGCATGTTAAAATTTGATCACTATTTTGATATGAGTTTCCTAGCAACAAAACCAAGAGGGAAATATGGGTTACACAATCCGCAAAGGCCACAAGGCAATGAAGCATTAAAGTATTTGCTCAAAAGAGACACAAATTCTGCTCCTACCAAGCAAAGAGAAGCACCTCCTAGGTCTTCTTGTGAGGACACCTGCAGCCAACTGCACCTTCAGCAACAGCCTGTCAGGAAGCGTGGCAGCAGTTTCCTAGGGAAACTTTCTAGAACCTTCCCCAAGGCGGTCTGCACCTCCTAAAGTGCAGTCAGTAAGAGAAGCAGATTGGCAAGGGTCAAAGTGAAGGTGTGTGTTCTAGTCTAATCCAGAAGCTTGAAGAGTATACCAGAGTGTATATCAGTGTGTGCATATGTTTGTAGCAGTGTGTGTGTGCATGCGTGTGTGTGTGTGTGTGTGTGTGTGTCCAACCCCATTAACACCCACTTCTTTCAGCCAACTGTCTGCAAGTTGGGGAATGGCGGTGACCCCTCATGGGTGCTATTTGTGTTGCCCATTAAAAGCACAAGCTTCAGAGGTCTGTCAGTATGGGCAGGACATCAAGACATGAAGCTGATTCCAAGCTCACTGAGAGCCATCACTTAATAAATGAAGTAACAAAGAACCTGAGAAGTGATAACTTAAGGGACGCAGTTTCAAGATGAAGTCTTTAATTTTATCATCAACTGCCCCACTAAGGCATTATATTATTTGAAATGATTCTTTCATTGTTCTCCTGGGCTGCCCAGGAATGCAATCACAGGACCTGAAAATAGCAATTATTTTCTCCTTCCTTCCCAATATTAACTCTTTTTGGATTGCATTAGCTTGTATTCCCAGGGCAGTGGGACATGAATATAAACCAGCTTTTCACTTCAAGGTTAGAGCCCCTACTTTTGAACCTCTCTCACCTTCTTCCCAGAGAGCTACTTCTCTTTTAAAGACTGGTTATCTGATTTGCTGGCCACACCTCACCAAGGCTAGTTGTCTTCCCAGGCAGCATGTAAAGAGGCTGAGGTTGAACAGTCTTTAGCTTACTGGAGGTGAGAGAATAGGAAGGTGTTGGTACAGGGGTGAACCCGACCACTCCCACCCTCAGCCTCCCATGGTGAGATACAGTCCCCCTCCCATGCTGAACACCATATATAGCACCTCAGTCTTCTTTACCATAAGCCTTGGGCAGGAGTCTTTCCTACAGCTGCCCCTCACTAAGGGCCAGCGCCTCTTCCCTTGCCTTGTGAGTCACAGCTGTTTTTGACCCCCTGGAGGAGCTCTTAGGCTCTTGTTTTAGGATCTGGTAGCTCATTTTAGCTTAGCCACTCACCCTCACAGTGATCACTTTGAGCTCATGTACTCTGAGGCCCAGAGCCTCATCTGTGAGATGGAGCACCCCTACTCCCTGATGCCAGAACGCAGTGGGGGTGTGAGCAGCTTTCAGAGAACCCATGGGTTCTCCTGTCTGCATGCTTCCTCTGCTTCTGCTGTGAGGACACCCCTCTAGCTTGTGAATCTCATTTTGGCAACTTGCCTCTGTGGCTGGGTAGTGGAGGGCAGGAAGGGGAGGTAAAGATGTCATGAAAACTAAGAGAATGATACAAAAAAAATCAATGAATCGAAGAGTTGGCTTTTCAAAAGACTAAATAAAATCAATAAACCCCTAGCCAACCTTGTCAAAAAAATGAAAGAGCTGGGTGTGGCGGCACACACCTGAAATCCCAGCACTTGGGAGGCTGAGGCAGGAGGATTGCTGTGAGTTCGAGACCAGCCTAGGCTACATTGTGAGTTCCAGGTCAGTCTCAACTACATAGTGAGACCCTGTCTCAAAAAAGAAAGAAAAAGAAAGAAAGAAAGAAAGAAAGAAAGAAAGAAAGAAAGAAAGAAAGGGCTCAGATCTATGTAATTAGGAATGAAAAAGGTGAAGTCACAACAGATCCAGCAGGAATCCAGAGGATCAACACCTACTTCTAGAAACTGTATTCTAATAAAATGGAAAACACAGAAGATATGGACAGATTTCTTGATACTTATGAATTATCAAAGTTGAACAAAGAAGATTAAAAAGTTCTAAACACCCCAATTATAATCTGTGAAACTGAAAATGTAATTAAAAGTTTATCAACTAAGAGAAGCCCAGGTCCTGATGGCTTCACTGCTGAATTCTACAAGACATTTAGAGAAGAAATACTGCCACTACTCTTTAAACTTTTCAATGAAATTGAAAGGGAAGCAATACTTCCACATTCATTCATGGAAGCAAGTGTTACTTTGATTCCAAAAGCAGGGAAAGACCCAACCAAAAAAAGAGAACAACAGGCCAATCTCCTTAATGAACATAGATGCAAAAATATTCAATTAGATACTGGCAAACAGAATACAGAGGGTCATAAAGAAGATCATACACACTGACCAAGTCGGGTTTATCCCAGGATGCAAGGATAGTTCAACATATATAAATCAATAAATGTAATATACTATATTAACAGAATCAAGGACAAAAACCATATGATCATCTCAATAGATGCTGAAAAAGCATTCGACAAATTCAACACCCATTCATGATTTAAAGACCCAGCAAAAAATTGGAAGAGATGGTCTTTATCTCAACTTGATAAAGGCTATCTATGAAAAACCTACAGCCAACATCATATTAAATGGCCAAACACTGAAAACCTTTATGCTAAAATCAGGAACAAGACAAGGATGTCCACTATCACCACTCCTGTTCAATACAATTCAGGAAACAGTAGCCACAGCAATTAGACATGACAAATAAATTTAAGAAATAAAGATATGAAAGGAAGAAGTTAAACTGTCATTATTTAATGATGATGTGATACTCTACATAAAAGACCCAAAAAACTCTGCCAAAAGACTTCTAGACTTAATTGAAAGATTCAGTAGAGTAGCTGGATACAAGGTCAACACTGAAAAAAGCAATAGCCTTCTTGTACGCAAATAAAAGACTCACTGAGAGAGAAATTAGGGAAATAATTCCTTTCATAATATCATTCAAAAAAATGAAGTATCTAGAAATCAGTATAACAAAGGAAGCAAAAGACTTCTACACTGAAAACTACAGCACTCTGAAAAAAGAGACTGAAGAAGATATAAGAAAATGGAAAGACATCTCCTGCTCCTGCGTAGGAAGAATCAACAACTGCAAATGGCTATACTACCAAAACTGCTATACAGATTCAATGCAATCCCGATTGAAATCCCAACATTATATCTCACCAGAACTAGAAAAAATAGTCCAAAAATTCATTTGGAACCAGAAGAGACCTAGAATAGCAAAAGCCATCTGAGCAACAGAGACATGACAGAGGGTATCACAATCCCCATCTTGAAACTGGACTACAAAGCCACTGTGATAAAAACAGCATGGTACTGGCAAATAAATCTGAGGATCAGTGGAATAGATTGGAAGATACAGAAACAACTCCAGATGTACTCAGCTACCTCATCTTTGAAAAAGGAGCTGACCATCCTCACTGGAGGAAAGATAGCCTCTTTAATAAATAGTGTTGGAATAATGAAATGGTGTCTTTCAACTTGCTGAAGATTAAAACTAGACCCTTATCTTTCATCATGCACTAAACTAAAATCCAAGTGGATTAAAGATCTAAATATTAAAACAGAAACTCTAAACCTGCTGGAAGATAAGTTAGGCAGAACTATCAAAGACATTGACATAGGAAAAAAACTTTATGAAGAAATCCTCAGTAGCACAGGAGCTAGAAGAAAAAATCAACAACTGGGATTTCATCTTATTAAAAAGCTTCTGCCATGCAAAAGAAACCACCAACAGAGCTAAGAGACAACCTACGATGTGGGAAAATATTTTTACCAGCTGTTCCTCAGAGAAAGGACTATTATCTAGAATACATAAAGAACTCGAAAAAATCAGGCCACCCAAATATAAAGACCTGATTAAAAAATGGGCATCTGAAATGAAAAGACATTTCTCAGACAAAGAAGTAAAAGCAGCAAATAAACATATGATAAAATGTTCAACATCACTGGTCATTTGAGAGATGCAGATGAAAATAACACTGAGATTTCATCTCACCCTGGAAAGAATGGCTGCTATCAAGAAATAACAAATGTTGGCAGGGTTGTGGGGAGAAAGCAACCCTTCTTCATTGTTGGTGGGTGAGCAGACTGGTGCAATCACTGTGGAAATCAATATGGAGATACCTCAAAGAACTACTATTAGAGGTCCCATTTGACCCAGCCATCCCCCTGCTGGGTATCTTTCCAAAAGAATTAAAGGAATCACACCACAGTGACATATGTGCACCAATGTTTATAGTGGCACAGTTTGTAATAGTTAAAACTTGTAAACAGCCCAATTGCCCTTCAGTTGGAGACTAGATAAAGAAGATGTGTTTTTTTAAATAAAATGGAATACTACTCAGGCATAAACAATGAGAAACTAGAGTCATTCATAAGAAAATGGATGCCTATTGAGGCCATACTCTTAAGTGAAATAAATAAGGCACACATGTGTAAACACCTAAGTTTCTCTGGTGTGAAAAACTAAAAGTGTAAATAAGATCCAAATTGTATAACTGATAATGTGAAATAGGAAGAAAAGGGCTAAAGATGTAGGGGAATTGGGAAGGATAGGAAAAGGAAAGAAGGGAAAAGAAAAAATATGAGAAAAGGAAAAAATAGAATCAAAGTCTTTGTAAATAGGGGAGGTGGAGGGGGCGAAGGGAGGGCAGGGGTATGGGGAAAACAATGAGAACCAAGATCTGACATGTAAAGGTACAGGATCCCAATGATGAATGAAACTGTACTGTATATTTAGAAGGTACCAATAAACTCAATAAAAAAGAAAAGAAAAAAAAACGATGTCATCCAAGCTTGATGGGTTGGCCGTGGGGAGCTGTTGGCTGTCTCAGTCAGGTCCATACACTCTACTGTGCCTAAGGCCCTGTCCAGACTTGCCTTACCCTTCCCACTGCAGTCCCACAGTTGACTGGGGGACCCCAGGGCCCCTCATCTTCCAGTCTCTGACTCAGGAAGCAGTGCTGTCTCCTGGGCCACAAAGGGCCTCTCTGCTCAGGTGCCCGGAGGCCCAGTCCAGAGTGAGGCTCCTTGAATAGCTCTACCGACAGACAGAGAGGCCTAGGTCTCAGTTAGGTACCTTGGCCAAGTCCCCTCACTGACCTATGCCTCTTACCTGTTCTGCAAAGCCATGATAAGGACATGTCTTTTCAGAGGCTGCTGTGAGGCCAGACAGAAGCAAGAAACTTAGGAGGCCCTGACAAATATCCTGGGAACCTGTAGTTCTGAGGGAGGTTTCCTCAGAGGGTGGACCACAGGGGTGATGATGCCAGCCCTGGACCCCTGAATGCATGGCATCTCCAGACCTCAGGTCCATTGTGGGCTCTTGCCAGGCCGAGTGAGGCCCATGGATGGGTGCCCGCCTCTTCCCAGAGCCCTGACCTGGGTGTAGATCTGGTCCAGGCTTGGTCTGTCATCAGGAGCTTCTTCCCAGCACTGCTTCATGAGCTGGATACATGCAGGTGGCCCATGGTCAGGAGACACCAGTGGCCGGCACAGGGGAGGGGGAAATGCCACCTTCCTGATGATTTCTGCAACAAACACCATGTGGGCTGTGAGCCTGAGGTCCTAGAGGGCTCATGGGAGGGTGCTCAGAGGGAGAGGAGGGTAGACCTTAGAGCACGCTGATCAGGTCACTGGGATGGGTCCCACCCCCTTTACTGGTCCCAGGGTGCAGCCGGCCCATGGACAGAGCCTTGGTGCTTTCTTGGGTCTGCTCAGGGTTCAGTCAGGGAAAGCATCTCAGACCAGGAGCTGGGAGAGCTGGATTTGTATTTGGATCTGTCTCCATTTCTCTATGAGCGGGTGGAGCAGACCATGGAGACAGAGCAGCCTCTGTCTCCCCATCTGTGAAATGAGCTCAATAAATGGCCTGATTTGGAGAGGTGTTGAAGGAGGAGGTGACAGGTGTGAGGTGCTAGTATGTGGCACATTCTCTGCCACTGCCTCTACTCAGTTGCCAGTGGGTCAGCACGGGGCTCCTAGTAATCCATTTATATTCTATACATGTTGTATCAGCTTTCAGAGCCTTAGTTTCCTCACCTACAATATTACAGACCTTTAGGATTTTTATGAGGTACAGCAGATTAACTTCCTGTGAGGAGGGCTGGGATCCAGAGATGGGATCCCCTGGAGCCAGGAAGAGAAAACTTGCTGGATGTTAGTCCCTTCTCAGGCCTTTGTTGGCCTCCTTGTTGGGGGTAGCACAGGAGTGACTGTCTCGTTTTATAAACACAGCTGGGGGTGAAGGAGGGAACCGGCATAGGGCAAGTTAAAAACAAATCCTACAAGGGCGCTTGATTTTCCCCGGCCCACCCAGAGGTGCCCAGCCTGCAGGCCTCAGACCCTGAGGACCTTAGAGCATAGGAACGTGTGCAGAAGGAGTCAATAACACCACACATGAGCATGCGTGCACACCAGTACTGCTCTACAAAGGTGTGCAGGTGGCGTTGCGATGAATAAAATACAAATCCTTGTCAAAGTGTTGTTACTTTCAGAGCAAATTTTCCCTCTTTTTTTCATAGTCAGCAGGTATTAAAAGTCTAATAGTTGAATAGTATATGAGGCTTCAGGCTTTTCTTTTTTCTTTTTGGTATGGTACTGGTTTCTAGGGAGCCCTGACAGAGAACTCAGAAGGGCGGGGGCATTTCTAAAGTTAGGTCCTGACCCTGGGGCTGGAAGAGAGAAAATGTCTACACTGCAGATGACAATGGGGAACAGGGGCAGGATTATTTTGTAAGTGTGTATGGGAACAAAAGTATGGCCACAGAGGGGCCCTGGAAAGAGTCCCACCAGGCAGGTAACTGAGCCTCCAACTACTGAGCAGCCTGGCCATGTCAGCCACAGGCTGGCGCTGGTACATTTTTATTGGCTCTCCATTTTAAAAATGAAAAACCAAGGCTTAGAGAGCGAGTGATTTGTGTGAGTGATGGGTCTGTAGAGATGCAATCTGTTGCTGGACCATGCATTAGGCGTGAGTACCTACAGATGTGGCAGTGGCATTGGGAGAGAAAGGAAGGGGCCCGAGTTGGCACCGGAAATTAATGCTTTTAACTGCTGTAGCCGGTCAGCTGCCACTTTGGCAAAGTAGCCGAAAGCTTGCCTGGCTTAAGTCAAGGAAATTCAATACCCACAGTCAGACCTGAGATACGAATGTAGTGATTTTCAGGCTTGGATTTCCTGATGGTGACAGAGCTCACTATTTGGAGACTATAGCCAAGGACAAGCCAGGGAGGGGGAGTGGACACCATACCTTCTGCTGAGAGCCCTGAGGAAAAGTACGGGGGGCTTTGGGTCAGCACTTCCTGAAGGATGATGCCCATGCTGAACACATCCCCTTTGAAGGTGCCCTGCCTGGGCTCCTGGGGACCCCGCAGCAGCTCAGGAGCCGTCCACAGCAACTCTGCAATCACAGGGCAGGACCACGTATCACTCACTGCAGCAGGTTGGGCCAGGTGAGCTAGCACACATCTGTGATGTCATAGCCTCTCCCTCTGCTCTGGGTGGACATGGGCACTTCTATTCTCTGGGGTCACAGATAAAGAGCCTGAGGCTCCTCTAGAGCAGAAGTCATAGACTCAAGGTCATGGCACAAGGAGTGACTGATGACAGGATATCTTCTCCCACTCCCCTGCTTCTCAAGGCCCTGGTTTAGGCAGAGGTCTCAGAACCCCGGGGCCCTGCCCATTCTGGAGCTGACCTTCTGGGGCTGGCTGGGGTTGGGGTGACTGCTGGGTATCCAGGAGCTTGGCATAGCCATAGTCAGTGATCTTGAGCACAAAACGGCTGTCCATCACACAGTTCCGGGACTTGAGGCGGCCGTGGGTCAAGTGCCGATGGTGTAGATACCGCATGCCCTGGGGTAGACGTAATAGGGACCCTCTGGGTCTATGATGCATGAGAGGGGCCTCAGAACTCCCACGAGCTCCAGAAGGCCTTTCTGCCTTCCCTCCCCTTTCACCACACTATTCTATTTTCTCAGTTAGAGAAGTCCAGAAGAGCCCAGGTGTGGGATACCAGAACTTGTTTTGTCTCCCTGCCCTCCCGATGGGCCCACAGTTCCAGGGGAGGTTCCTCACTTGGATCAAATCCAGCAGTAGGGAGGCCTTGAAGGTCCAGTCTAGTCGCAGGGCCTCATTCCGTAGCAGGTCCTCCAGGCTGCCCCGGGTACAGTACTCCAGCACCAGAGCACTGACCCCAGGGGTCACGAAAAAGCCGAGGCAGGTGGTGACATTCTCATGCTGCATTTCTCGCATCTGCTGGAGCAGTGGGTATCTTAACAGCCCTCGGGGGACCCTCTGAAGGCTACACCAGGTAAGTCTACACGGAGGTCCCCTGTACTTAGCACCCAGTACAAGTATGAGCACAGAGAAGTATTAGAAATGATGGTTGGTTGGTTGTGTTAATAGATAGATGGATGGATGGTGGATGGGTAGACATGTGAATGAACAAGTGAGTAGAAATACCACTGATGAATAAATAAGTGAGCTATAATCACCTCCACAGAGTAGAGATCTAGGCTTTCTTCTCAAAATAAGTGACACGATTGACTTAGAAACTGTATCAGTTTTCTGTCCCAAGGCTAGGGTATTGAGGAAGGAGGAAGAACAGAAGGGATCTGGTATTAGCAGGTAGCAGTGTTCCTGACAGCTGCTCAGGAAATTAGAAAGCTCACATTCAGCGTTGATAGAGACTCAGTGGTAGAGCACTTGCCTAGCACACACACACAGCCCTGGGTTCTTGCCTCAGAATCCAGGAGGGAGGGGGAGAGGGAGAGGGAGAGAGAACTGGAACCTAGTCAGGGACACTGGTATTTGCCAAGCAGGACAGAAAGAGCCCTTGTCCGGCATGGCCCGCCTCATAAAAACAGTTCATGGATTGGCTAAGTGAGAAACCTGCACATTCTCTCCCACTGGAGATTCACAAGCTCGCTAGGAAACATGGGATTTAAGCATGGCCTTTCTCCCTGAGTGTGAGGGCGTAGTTCTGTGACTACTGTGACCAGCTGAATACAGTGGAAATTGTTTTGTATGCTTCTGCCTGCAGGACTGGCAACTTTCATTTCCTGTCCCTGTCCCTTGTCACCCTCTCTTTGGTGCCTTAAGCCCCCAGGTCAGAAGTCCTCTAACCTGAGTTACCACCCTAAAGAGGCTACATAGGGAAGCCCTGAGATTACAGAAAGAGGAGATGGATCCAGCAGACCCCAGCCTTCCAACTGCCCTGCCAAGGCACTGAGTATGAGTGTAGCCATTTTAGGGCCTCTGGTCTGAGAATTAGCAAATTTCCTGGAAAGGTCCAGAGAGTAAATATTTTAGGCCCTTTGGGTCTCCGTCACAACCATTCATTTCTGCCATTGTAGTATGAAAGCAGCCATAGACGACACATAAAGGAGAGAACGTGGCTTTATTCCAATAACATTTCATTTATGGACTCTCAAATTCCACAGATTTCCACTGCCAAAAACATGTAAATATTCCCAGTTCTCAACTATAAAGTGCTTCTCTCTTGAGGGCCTATAACTCTATTTCTTTAAGTGTGTATTTAAAAATTCTCTGTAATAAATCCTTTATGCCTCTTTTAAAAAATGTCATTTATCAAAGTAGACAATGTCCTTGATTTGCCTATGGGCCAGTTTACTAGCATCTGACAGCCCATTTATTAGCTAAGCACTACTGAGCTATCCTCCAACCAAGGCAAAGCAAAGCAGAATTGTCCAGTTGAGCCCTGCCAAAGGTTCTTCCCCACAAAATTGTAAGATATAAAATGGTCATTGTTTTAAGCTATTATTTTGGGGTAAATTATTACAGTGTGATAGATAGAACAGCACAGTGAAGATGCTGAAAAGCTTATGGCTAACCCAAGCAATTTTCAGATTTGAGTGACTACATATATGTCCTTGATTCCAGCTCCTCAGCGGGGGCAAGAGGATTACAAGTTTGAGGCCACCCTGGGAAACTTAGTAAAAACCGGCCTCAAAATTAAAAATTTAAAAGGTTGAGGTATAGCTTGACACTTTCTGGGTGTGTCAGGAGAGAGAGGCAGGGGAGAGAGGGAGAGAAAGACACATCTCCTCACGTTAGTTGCAAGATGACCACTGGGAAATGCCTAGCTTTACCCCCAGCCACTTAATCTCTCCAAACTTTATTTCAGAGTGGTGGTGTTGGAAACAGTAATAAAAAATAGCAAGAGTAAGATTCTCATAAAATTCATCATTGGTTAAAGATACATCGCTTGCCAGGAACAGTTCTGGATTATTTCAAATTCCCTGCACTCTTTCCAATTTCCCTGTGGCTGGACACTGTTGGCTCTGTTTCCCAGGGAGGCTAGTGTTCCTTGGAGGCAGAATCCTGTCTGAGATGTTCTTGTATCCTGTCCTTATCCCACAGTGTCTCTTGGGGTGGGACAATCTCAGGGCGAAGGTACTTATGTGGTTAGTGATGACAAGTGACCAGAAGCTGCTCCAAGGAAAGGACCTCTCTTTTCCAAAGCCCAGAACATGTCCTGGCACATGAGAGTGCTCAAAAATAGCAGATAGATGCCTGGACAGGCAGATGGAGGAAGGGCGCAGCACAGGGTCTCTCAAGGGTGTTGAGATGTCACATGATGGCACTATTGGAGGGGACTGTGTCCCTGGTGGCTATGGTGAGGACCATACTGGCATGGTAATGTGATCTTAGGGATGTGTGTGTATGTGTGATGGTAACAGTGATGGTGTCTAGTTGCAGTAGAGTGGCTGGTCATGAGCAGAGATCGTGATGACAAGCAGGACTTTCTCTCTGAGGCCAGAAGTTTCCACACTGAGTGGGGATCAATCCACACAGATTGCCCTGAGCAGATCCTCCCCATCCCACCTCAACCAAACAGTCCTACCTTTCTCAGGAGGCTGAGGCAGCTGGGGTGCCGCTCAGGAGCTGTGCCTGCTTCAAACTTCTTCAGCCAAACCCATTTTCCCTGTTCAAGGAAGAACAAGTTTGCCTGCTGCTGTTTCCTAGCTGTGTGACTTCAGGAGATCTCTACCTCAGTCAGCCCCAGCTTCTCCCCTGGGAAAGTGCTCTTTTGTGTTCTGTGATGCACAGAGCTTGCTCAGCAAGGATCATAGCTAGACTTTTACTGGGGCCCAGGTGGAGCCAGACCCTTGGCTTGACTGACAGAACCAAGTTCCAGTTCTGACTTCATCACCTTTTAGCTCTGGGACCTGAGCAGGTGACTTCAGTTCTCTGTACCCTAGGTTCTAAACCTGCAAGGAACTGAAGATAACCCCACATCTCCAGGGCCAATGAGATGGTGGCTATGAAGCATGCTAGTTCTTCACCTTGACATCAGCTTGACTCTGCAGGTGTCAGACATCCTTGATGCCCCAAACCCTGTGAAGGGCATACCTTTGACCTAGGAAAGGAGCAAGGGAGGGTGGGAGAGGAAGTGTCCTTAAGCTGGTGCTCTGTCCTTTTCTTGGCCCAGTGCAGCCCTGGCTGCAATTTCAGGCCTCTCTCCCCTTACCCCAGGTGGATGTACCTCCTTTTCTCACAGACAACACATACTTTGCATATCACTAAAGCAGAAAAGAGAAAAGGTGGAATTCTCTAGGGGAAAAGGTAGAAAAGATGCAGCAAGACTCTCAGGATGTTTCCCATGGATGCAGTTAGCTCATCAACTGTGGGAGTCACAGAATAAGAACACTGAAGTATCACTGAGTTGCTGAACTTGAGGATGACAGCACTTGAGAAATTGCAGTGGTTCTGGCAACCTCATAGTCTTGTTGGTTTAACATCTGTCTGCTAGAGGCTGTCCAGAGCTGTGTGCTGTTGTCAGGGGCTTGGGAATCAGAAATCTCATGGTTTAGATCTAGACTGTCTCTTAAATACCTGATGTGTTCAGAGGTAGTGCTTTTGGAAGGTGATTGGGTCAAGAGGATGCTATACTTATCTGTGAATTGATCCAGTGATAAATTCACAAGTAAATGTGCTGTTAGGAGGTGAGACCAGGTTGAAGGAGACATTTTTGCCTTGGAGGTAACAGACCATGGAGTGAATTCCCCCTAAACCATGAGCCAAATTAAACCTCTTCTGCTGTAAGTTGTGAGTGTCAAATATAGTGTCTCAGTGATGAGAACACTGACTACTACTGTGGCATGGGCAGTTCTTAGGGCCAAATGGCCAGGAATTATGAGCTGAAAGTCCTGTTTTCCACTTGTACCCTGTTGTTGACTTGGCAGAGGACCCAGGAAAGCCATGGTTCCTATTTGGGTCATTTTTCCATTCTCTGACAGGAATGGGCCAAATAACCTCCAAACTAATACAGCTCTCTGGGCCTCCCTGGAGTGGTAGAAGACCTCACCTGGTATAGGGCCATGTTGTTGGCTTCCTGGGGTGCTAGCAGGCTCCTTGCTGACCCCTCGGCCACTGATCTCAGGCTTCCACCATCCGCAATGCTTCTCGATTCGCTTGCACTGTCCATGTTCAGCTGCTGGAGGGGGCAGGCATGGTCAGGAGCCCAGTCTCTACCGAGGTCAGCTGCCTAATCACCAGCTCAGCCCTACCCCACCTACCTGTCGGCTTGGAGGTCTGTGGAGGAAAGTGAGTTCTTGGGCTGTCAGCAAGATGTGATGGGGGCCCCATGCCTGCTTCAGCTGCTGGATGCCTAGTCTGGAGATTAGTGAAAGAGGTCAGTATGGGTACTACAAAGGTCGCCCCACCTCAGTCTGGCCCTTGGTTCCACCTCTGACTCAGAGTCCTCCGCTATTCTCTCCTTGTTTCATTTTCGCGTCTCACTAGTCCTAGCTGAGCGTACTGAGCACTGTCCTCATGGAACCCTAGGCCTTGGGCTCAGGCCTGGAACTGCTGAGGGCCTGATGTGGCTTCTGAGTCCTAGCCTCAGCATTCCCAAGGTTTCTGGAGACTCCATGACATAGCCAGAGCCTAGGGTAAGCTGGGAATGAAAGGCTGCCCCCTGCTAGATGAGGCTGAGGCTCAAAGACCATCTGGATTCAGGAGCACAGCAATTGGAACCCAGAGAGAATTTGTTTTTATAGCTGAAGGGTCCTCAGGGTTGATCTTGACCACCCCTCTCACTGTACAGAGGACAGTCTGAAGCTCAGGGGTCAGCATCTCCTGGTGGGTCACAGGCCTCTTCCTGGGATCTCAAACAGACCTTCTTAGCTGGGGCCTTGATAGCCCTGATTATGGGTGGCCGTGAGGTCCCGGAGGATGGAGACAGATTGCCACAGAAAGGTCCTGTAGGGGGACAGGGAGAGCCAGAGCTGGCTCAGGCCAAGACAGTCTCACCTGATGAGGACAACGAGGGCCCCTCCAGCCAGCACCAGGATGCAGGTCAGTGACAGAGTCAGGAGGCTGCTCAAGGGCTGTGTACCTGTGGGGAAGCCAGGACAGACAAGAGTCACCACATAGCGACAGCCCCATCACTGCACCCCTGTGCTCACTTCCTGGGTGTCTCACCTGGGAAATGGGAACACACTGCCTAACTGCTTCCCCAGTGGCAAGGCTTGAAACTCCTGCCTGTGTTGGCAGGCCAATGTTCCATTCTCCCCTATAGCCCCGGGCTGAGCACAGTGCCTGGGGCAAGTAAAAGACTGGGTGAAGCCATTACCTCTGTTCCTCTCCCAGGGGATTTTTAGGGCTCATGTCTCTCAAGGAGAGAGACGGCACTATGAATACTATACCATATGCCTAGGGAGCACAGGTAAGGAGCCCCAACTTGACTTACAGAGTTCACCTCAAAGGACAAAGAAGATATAGCTAGGCAAAGTTAGGTGGAGTGGAGGGTCTAGGAAAGCACTCCAAGGGAAAGGGGTCACAGTCAAGGGAGCCTAACAGGGCAGTATGCATTCCAGGAAATGCGAAGAATTGGCCATGCCCGTGCACTTGGGTTGAGAGAGCAGAGAGAGCCCAGGTCGGAAGGAAGGGGCCAGAGGTTTGGGGCAAGGAAGAGAGTTGAACAAACCTGATCAAATCCGTGCTACCCATCAGTGGCAGTAGCTGCAACTAGGTGTGAGTTAGAGAATGTGGGTGGCCCTCTCCGCACACCTATGTGCACACATCTCTGTAGACTTAGGTACGTGAATGTCAGCACAGTCTTATCACGTCTGACACACGGGATGGATGAATAAGAGGAGTCAGAATGGCATAGGCTTCCTAGTCTCACATTCTCCACAAGGAAAAGAAATCCCGCACTTGCAGTCAGAGGACTGACGCTCCCTGTGAGAGCTCAGCTCCTGCCTCCCTGCGTGACCTGGGGCAGCTCGTCAATCCTTTCTGAGCTTCAGCTCTCTAGCGGTGCCCATGGAGGGCAATGGCCTAGTAACAAAGCTGTGGTGTTAGGAGATCGGAGAGATGGCAATGTCTCTGTAAATATTTTAGCCCTGCTCATCTGAGGGATGCCTTGCCAGTCTTCCCTGGTACCACATAGCTGCTGGCTCAGTCTTCTCAGTGAAGTGTCACAGCCTTCCTTTGCATCTGTTCCTGCTACTTATCCGAGGCTATCCACGTGAGAAACTTTAAGGAAGGATAGATGAAGGGATGGGCAGTAAATAGATGGGTGTAAGGGCAGGGGGTGGCAGACAGGCAGATATGGATAAATGGGGGATGGGTAGAAAGATAGATGGATTAGATGGATAGATGGGTGAAGGAGGGATGGATAGAGGTGGATAAGTGGGGGTGAGTGGATGGATGGATTGATGGGTAAAGGGATGGATGGGTGGTACATAGATAGATGGACAGATGGATGGATGGGTGGCTGTTGGATGGCTGGATAGATCATGAATTACCTCTCATACATAATTTGTTGGGATCAAACCAACAGCTGGAGTCACGGGCTGGAGGAGCCCCTCCTGGAAAGTGTATAGTCTTGCCCAGGGGCTGCACTTGCCATGTGGCTGTGTCCAGAGTGTAGGTAATAGATGGGTAGGAGGGATGGATAGAGGTGGATAAGTGGGGGTGAGTGGATGGATGGATTGATGGGTAAAGGGATGGATGGGTGGTACATAGATAGATGGACAGATGGATGGATGGGTGGCTGTTGGATGGCTGGATAGATCATGAATTACCTCTCATACATAATTTGTTGGGATCAAACCAACAGCTGGAGTCACGGGCTGGAGGAGCCCCTCCTGGAAAGTGTATAGTCTTGCCCAGGGGCTGCACTTGCCATGTGGCTGTGTCCAGAGTGTAGGTGGGGACTAGCTGGCTTTCTTGACCATCTGTATCCAAGATGACATACTGGGCCAGCCTCCTGCCCTTCTCATTGGTCCGGATCCTCTGGCTAAAGCCTGCCACATCAAGATCCCCTGTATGGTCCCCTAAATGAGCTCCTGAAAGCCCTGCCTCATGGCTTTCAGAGTGGTTCAGGGCATGGGCCAACAGGACAACCGCATCATAGATGGTTCCAAAGAGTGGGGACACCTGTGGAAAAGAAAGTCCTTTAACCGCACAACCCTATAGGAGGTTTTGGTCCTCTGCTAGGAGAAACGGTTTAGATTACTACTCTCTCCCCTAATGTAATCCCACATTATTACACTCAGCAGCTTCCCAGTCCCTATGGCCACCATCACTGTGGCCACCACCAATTCAAAGTTTTCCAAACCAAAGCCCCTGGTTCTATCAGGTGCTACCTCATTGTTCTTCATCTGAATCCTCACCTGGTTGCTTCCTGATCATTCACAGCTCAAGTGCCACCTCCTGAGTAGGCCACCTTGTCCATCCTGTCTCTAGTTGCTCACTACTCCCTCCAAGCCTCTGTCTATCACTTGATCCTCTTCTGTTTCTTGGCAGCATCATCACTATTTGAACTCTGTCATTGCCTGTCTCTCCCTAACACAATAAAACTCCCTGAGGCCCAGGTCTGTCTTGTTTACTACCCGGCTCTTGATACCTGACTCCTGATACCTGATACCTGATATGATGGCACATAAGAAGGACTCAATCCACATTTTTGATTGAATGATTGAATGACCCTCCTTGTCACTACTTCCAGATATTACCGTCTTCTTATAACCAAGAAGCAGACGGCCCAAGGGACAATGGAGTTTTTCTGAGTCTTACGAGCCAAAACCAAACCAGCAGCTTCATCCCCACCAGTAACACTCTTCACCTTAATGAGGTGTCTGGAAATCCTTCCTCTCCTCATTCAGTGCTCCCAGCACTTCCTCCTGATCTTCACAATTTGCTAGAGAGATGTAAGCCAGAGAGGCAGGATGTCCACACAGACAGAAGCAGGAGGAAAGAATGACAGGAGCTGAGAATGCTGCAGTTGGAGGGTAGAAATGGGAGAAGACCAAGAGGAGAACTGATAGAGCAGAGCAGAACACAGCACAGAGAGATGGAGAGAGAGAGATGGGGGTGGGATCTAACTCTGCTCGGGGAAGAGAAAAATCCCGTGTCAAAAAGAGACAGGCCGTGTGACCACAGTGGATGGGCCCACCCTTGGCTCACCTGCCCAGACCCCAGCCTTCTGATGTGAGAGAATTCGATCACCTACCTGCTCTGGCTCCAGGTGGGCAGCCGCTTCTCTCCCCACCCCAGCAGCACCAAAAGCCTCATTCTCAGGGCTGGACTCCAGGCTGACAGTGAGCACCGCGTCGTAGGCCTTCTGCAGGGGCCCGCTGTTGCCCAGGATGGGGTAGGAGCGGTTGCGGTAGGGCAGGGCAAAGAGGAGTGTATCATAGGGCAGGAAGACCAGCCTCCCATCCGCCAGGCCCTGGGCACCGGCGTGGCCCAGCAGGGCAGTCTGTTCCAAGCCCCCCAGCAACGCTGAGTGCATACACAGCACCACAACTGGGAGGAGGACAGCAGGGTCACCTTTGAGGGCTCAGGGCTCTGTGGCCTTCCATGGAGCCCAGAATCCTACAGTTCCTGAGAGCTGCTCAAAACTCTGCTGCTATGTCTCACCCCAGCCCTCCCTATTGGAACTCTGCTTCCCCTAAAGAACCATGTTTCCCCCAAAACATGACCTAGCCAGAAAATAATTATCCTTGAAAACTAGATGTCATAATTACCAGCCCAATTAGTCTATCCTTGCCCTACCTGTCTGGATGTGGTCCAGGTTTCTGCTGCAACCCCTTTTCCCAGAACACCCCAGAAAATGGAGCCATCAAAAAAGGCTAGGAGTATCCTTGCTGGGTTTGAGGATTTATATAAAAGTCAGAACCTGGAGCCTGGTTTGGCTGAGCCTCTGGGTTTGGTGACATGCCTGAGGTCACACAGCTGGAGGGCCAGTAGTGGAGTTCTTACAATCCAACTCGAGAGCATGAGACCTCAGTACTCTGCCTCTTGGTTCCTGAAAGCCAACACCATGGCTGGAACTCAGTCTCCCACAACAGGTATAGAAAAGGAGTCTAATGATTTCCTCACCTGCTGCCACCCTGCCCCAGCCACTGAGTTCAGCCACTCAGAACTGAACCAATCCCCCTTTGCCGCATCCCGTGAACGTGTTATCTCCACATGAGCTGATCCTTCTGCCCAGAATGACTTTCCCTCTCATCTCTATCTGTAATCAGCTTCTCATTGCCAAGCCCAGTCCTAACGTCACCTCTTCTGTGCAATTCTTCTCACCCCAAAGTGGGTGAGCTCCCAAGCCCCGGGCTCCTCTGTGCCTGTAGTTTATGCGTCTGTCTCCCCCAGACTCAGCTCCTGATAGCTGGGGCCCACAGCTCCTTCCTATGTCCCCAGGGCCCAGCTGGATCAGGATACATTTTACCCGGATACACTCACAGATCTCAGTATATAAAAATCAGGTCCACTGGAAAAAGCTTCACAGACCCCCCTTAATCCTTGCTCATGCAGGGGACTCTCAGGTAGAATACATTTTCATTCTGTTCCATTCTGTTCTATTTTATTGTACTCAATTCTATTCTTTTCTTTTTCTGTTCCATGCACTGCCCTTTTTATCGTGTGAGTCATGATTCACTAAATTGATTTCCTGACACTCATGGGCCATAACCCAGTCTGAAGACACTGAGGGTAGATTTGCCTAGGATCCATCTGCTCTCCCCTGTCCCATCCACTATGCCTTTCCCTGGCTGGTTACTTCCCTAGAGACAGGCCAGTGTTACCTACTCCAGGGATCCTCCACTTCCTTGCCCCTCGGGCTGTGCAGGCCTCTGCTTCATGGGATGGCCCTGACACCTCTGTCACACTGCCTGCTCACACAGCAGTCTTCCTATTGCACTGTTGTGCCCTGGAGGCGGGCCACCATGTCTGTCCTGTTCCTTGCTGTGACTAAGTACCAGTACTACAGGATTTGGTAAATAAAGGAAGCAATGGATCAATCAGTGAGTCCATGAAAGTTATAACTAACCACAAAATCAAGGCTGGCTCTGACTCCCATCCTGGGCTCAGGTGCTCCCACACTTTGGGTCCTTCATTTCGCAAAGTGGGAACCAAGGGTATCCTGTTCTCCCACTCTACAACCAACACTTGAATCAGAGCTCAGAGTCCAGCTGCACTGCCTGTCAACTGTGTGATGTGGGTGGACTACACACCTCCTCTGAGCTAGTGAATGGAGACTTCAGCAGGAATAGCTGTGGACTAGCAGTTGCCAATTGCTCAGCCCAGTGTCTGATGTAGAGGAAACCCCCATCAGAGGCAGTGTGAAGTCAAGCCTGCCCACAGGAGGGAGGCGTCCAAGTGTACTTACTTTTCAGGCCATCCATACTGCAGAGCTGTTTTAAAACCTCTGGGGCCCCTTGACCCCCAGGTCCCAGAGAGGTTACCAGCCCTACAGGTAGCCCATGTGTCCTGAAAGTCATGGCCAGCCGCTGGGCTGTGGCCACCCAGACATCTTGGTGGGAGGACACAATAGCTGAGTGAGCCCAGCCAAAGTGTCTCATGACAGACAGCATCACGTGGGCAGCGGAGGGCAAGGTGGGCACCAAATCACCTCCACCCTCTGGAGCCTCACACACCCAGGAGAAGAGAGTCTTTCCCCAGCTTTGGGCCAGCAGGGCTGCTGCTGGGCAGTAACCAGGATTGACAGGGCCCACAAACGCATCCACAGTATTCTTGTGGGCTAGCATTGTGGCCAGGGCTTGAGGAGTGTTGCAGCCTGAGGGGAGGACCACAGAAGCCAGCTGTGAGTCTAGTGATAGTGAGGAGTCCTGATTGGCTTGATCCACAGCCAGCTGGGCAGCTATACTTGGGAGGGCCTGGGCAAAGATGGAATCACAATCCCAGGGACCCAGTACCCCCACAGTGAAGGTCCCTGCCCCCAACACCAGATGGAAGAGGGATCCGGCCCACAGGAGGCCACCCCAAAACACCACCGAGAGAAGTGACAGGAGAGGGGTTGTCCTTGGAGGCCTGTGACGTGGGCCCTGGCAGGGCAGGCAGGTCTTGTGTGGCAGCGTCCAGTCCCAGCCTTCAGGGCACAGGCCCACCATGAGTCCTGGGAAAAGAGAATGTAGTCAGGGTTTGCTTTCAAGCATTTTCTGCCAGCACTTCCTATGTGATTTTGAGGCAGATACCCCCCCACCCCAAAATGAGGGACTTGGACAAATGATCTCCAAGAACTTCTCCCACCATGTCCACCAAGGTCTGGCTCCCAGCCTCCTGATGTCCATCCAAAGTCGTGGGCTGAAGCTCAGTCTTTCAGTATGCAGCATACAGGCACTGAGCTGACCATCCTCACATTCCTATTCCTGTCCATATGGCTCTGGGCTAACCTTTAAAGCTTTCTGAGCCTTGTTTACCTCCTCTGTAAAATGTGAGCAGTAAAAGCTACTTCACAGCATTATTGTGATGATTAAATGACATCATGCCTGGTACTTAAAATAATGCCTCCCTCTTCCAATGTAAAGTGCCCTTTGAGCCTCCCCTGCCTCTTCCCTCCAAGCCCAGTACCATTCCACCATGACCTAATTCTTCTAGATTCCACCTGGTTGGAGCTGTAGCATTTTATACACACAGCTTAAAAGCAGCCAGCTGCATATTCCAGTTCCAGCAGCGCTCCTTTGGTTGTACTCATAGAAGTTGTGTCTATAGGGTTTATAATGCACATGCCTGTCCCATCTCTGATCTCCCAGTCTTGTTCTATCCATACTATGCAAAGAAGGAAACCTAGCAAAACTGATTTGGAGTCATTAGAAAAATAGGATTTGACCCAAGTCTCTTCAGCTCATCCCTCATCCCACATTGACCTTCTGGATCAGGACATTTGGACCATTCCTCACTTCATCCTGCTGTTCCAGAGCCTTGAGGCCCACCTTGAGACCTTGCAGCTTCTGCCTGGCTTCTGCCTATTTCCCTGCTGTTGCCACGGGGCTCGGCATATTTCGTCCCTCACCGTTTATACAGCCAGCAGTTTATTGATTGTGGGGGCACCAGGAAGGAATAAGATTCAACCTCACCTTTAGGAAACTTCCAGGCTAGTAGGGAGGCAGATCCCAGCCAAGAGGAGAACTGACTCAGAGTGCAGGCAGTAGGCAGGACTGGGGGTCTGTGGGTAAAGGAGGCCCATATAGGGCTTCCCAGAGGAGGCAGTGCTCCAAGCAGCCCCACCCTAGGAGTATAACACAGGAAAATGAGAGGATGCCTCCAGGAACAATAGTGGGTGTACAGTTGCTCCTCAGACATTATGCTGTGTGCTGAGTAATGAGTAAAGAATCACATAGAAGAATAAACCCGTTTCCTTTTTCACTAGCCCTTGGGAAGAACTCTGAGGGAGATGAGAATAACTACCCAGGAGAGTTCTGAAAATGAAAATGTGTATGCTGTCTGAAACTGGGTTAAGTAGGCATTTACTAAAAGGAATAGTTATCATCATCATTACCTCATCATCACAATCTTTAGATTTTTGAGGATAGGCAGGTGGGCTGTAGTGCAAAGACAGCTGGCCAAGGAGGTGAGAAGTCGGATTCTCAGCTCCACAATAGGCCTTAACATTGCCCATCTAGAAAAGTAGCCCATTTACAGGGTGGGCCAGCCCCTCATCCACAGCCTGTGATGCTGTGGTCCTCCCAGCTCAAGGCTCTTTGACTTAGAGAGGGCTGCTTTTCTCCCAGCCTTTGGGCCCTCCCTGCTCTTCTGCTGCAGTGCTCTTATTGGTCTTCTAACAGCCAGGATGAGGTCCATCCCCCGCCAAGATAAGACCCATAGAGCTGCTGAATAAGCTCTGGATTCACAGAGAGCTGATCATTTCCAGATGGGAACACAAGCACTTACTGATGCTAATGATGCTCATCTTTCCTTTCAATATTTCTTGTCAAGGCACCTGTAATTCAGCTCTTTGCCTAGTCCTCCCAGAGCCACCAGGAAAAGACTTCTTACCTTCACATTCAGGGGAGCAAACTTTGGGTTAACAATTTGTCTAAGGTCTTACCAAAGTTAGGACTGAATCAGAACTGGAACTTGGATTCCAACTTCCCAGACAAAAGACAAAAGTTCTTTCTTTTCATTGGTATATGGAACATCAGAGCTGAATATTCCATGGAGAAATGAATATCTAAAACAATTCCTTTATGTCCAGGTGAGGAGACTGTGGCACATAAATGAAAGGAGGGTGGAGTTCTTCCAGTCATGGGAAACAGCAGTAGGCTCCTCTGGCTTGAGATCCTGCTGACTGCACTAAGTGCCCTCAAGAACTCTGCATTCAGTGACCTGCAAGGGCTCACAGAGGCCACAAATCCATTGCAGACCTGCTTTGGGACCAGGCAGGTGCTGACTTTCACCATAGCTCTGTCCTTCATCTGTGGCACAGAGTTCACATCCATTTCTGTGCCTCAGTTTCCCCAATGTACAGAGAGAGCTGTATTCAGATGCTTAAGTCTCCAAAGACCCTTCAGATCTGCTGTTCTACATATTAATAAAAATCAAGAAACAGGTAACTTCTCTCTGTGAAAATGGTCAAGTTTCCTCTCCCAATCTTTTCTCAAGAGGGCCAGAGCTGCCAATGTTGGCCAGAGGGCCAACTCTGCTCAGAGCAGGTCAGTTTGCCAACTACTGGGGACACCATTTGTATTTTTAGATTCTGGGAGATGGGCCCTGAAGATTAGCCACAGGTTTCTCGGCTTACAGAGCCAAATTCATGGAGTATATCACCTTCCTAGCACCATAACCCAAAGGTGAAGAAGGCTCTAGCAACATTAACAGACAAATAACTAAAATGGGAAGGTGATAGGAACCCACAGCAGGGGAATGGAGGACTTCTGTCAGAGTCAGGACCTTTGCAGCCCCTGCAGGAAACATTCACCTTTCTGACCCAACTTGTCCCTTTCTTCAGGTAAGCACTTACCTGCCATGATGAGCTCTTGATGCTGACTGCTGCTTCTTTGCAGATTCTAAGGTTTCTACACCAGCTCCTCAGAGATCACACTCTCCAAGCAGGCTCTGGCTTGGGGGCTCTCATTCTCAGCACAGCCTCAATGCCCATCCTGCTGCTGTCAGCTTCTTGAGACTCCTGACTGGGGAGTACCTCATATATGGCTCATTCCCTCCTTGACACCCTCAGGAGCCCGAAGAAGCCATTTGGAAAATTAGATCTGTTCAGATCCCAGGGCTCTAGAGAATCACATGCAGAAAGGAAGGAGGTAAAGAAGCGGAGGAGGGAGGGAGGGAAAGGAGAGGCTGTCTTCAGCACTGCGGACAGCTCCAGGCCAGCTACCATTCCCAAGAGGCAGGCAGGAAGGACAAGCACCTCAGAACACAGCATTAGTCACTAAGAGCCATTCCCCGTGCTGGACACTACTCATTCAACACACCAAGATAGATATCACTGTTATTCTTACTTTAGTGATAAAGAAAGTATGGCCCAGAGAGATGAGGTAAATCTGATAGATAGATAGATAGATAGATAGATAGATAGATAGATAGATAGATAGATAGATAGATTAGGCATAGATCTAGTAAGTGGCAGGCAGGCTTCTGCTCATCACACCACAATGAGTCTACAAGAACTAGAGAGGAGATTTTTCTGTCTTCCTTTTAGTATGGACACTTATGTGGAGATAGGACCTCAGTCCAAGCGGTTTATAGACTTTCCTCCTCTACCTGCTCTCTCCTACCCAAGGGTAATCATTATCTTTTGGGGTGTTTTGTTTTGTTTTTGGTATTGGGGATCGAGCTTGGGATCTTGCACTTGCAAGGCAGGTGGTAGAACCATGGAGCTAAAGCTCCAGTCCAGGGAAATTAATTCTACACTTGATCTTAGCCAAAAGGCCAAGAAGTGATGGGAATTAATTTTTATATGGCCACCATCCCTAGTATGTGCTAGCCTCATGCATACCCCGTTTCATGTCACAACCTGGTCAAGTGTATATTGTGTTTTATTCTCTTTGGATCCCTTTATTCATTCAATTAATGTAGCTAAGCCCAGGTCCCAAGCCCTGTGTTGTGGAGCCACCTGTAGACAACCCACCTGGGTGGCCTTGTTCTGGGACCTAGGCCCACTACTTTGTTCTGCATGACCTGGGGATGAATGAGGATAAATGACAAAGAGACAGAGAGTCAGTTTAATATGCAGGCAGCCAGTGGGTTTTTGACTCTTAGTAGGCAGAGAAGCCCCTAGTGTCTTGGCCATCTTGCCTTTATTCATGAAACGTAGATAGAAGCAATCAAATAACACAAGATTCATCTGCTTTCCAATGTCCATTGGTACCTACTTTTGTAAACAACTTAACCTCAGCTGTCTTAACTTTTCCCCAGCACCTGCACAATACCATCACCCCTGAGTGCAGCCTTTCTCCTTTGGGCTCACAGAGGAGGCAATTAGGCCCCAATTGTCCTCTGGTCTCTGACAAACTCATATTTACTGAGCACTCACTTTTTGGTTCTGTTGCAGGAATGTAAGCAGAACCTCCTGTCCTTTCCCTCCACTCCCATCCTACTTCTTGCCTCCTCCTTCCCAAACCCTGTAATGTTTCAGGCACTTTTCTGGACACCTGGGCTACATTGACAAATGAAAATAATAAAGATTTCTGCTGCTCACAGAAGCTCATTTTCTAGCTATGTAGGGAGGAGTGTAACAGTCAACAAATAAACATGGTAAGTAAGTACTGTAGAAAGTGACAGGATTTTGAAAAGGTAAAAGTTAAGGATGCCACATGTATTATATGATTCAGCATAAGTATTTTTCATACTGCTACAAAATCTTTATGATTATAATTTCAGTAGTCAAGAAACACATTGAATGGATATATCATAGGTTAGTAATTTTTATTGTACATTTTATTTGGCCCTTAATCGTTATCTGCACCTGTTTGTTCTCAGATACATTTTCTGACCTTCCCAGACTGAGTGAGCACCCAGAGGTGGGCTGGTGGTAGGGGAAAGGAGGGAAAGACTTTGGACTGCAAGACTGACCCTCTCGCTATAGGTTTCTGGATGGATTCAGCCAATAGGGGACACTTTCAGGGAACAGGAAAACCCAAAAAGGGAAGAAGACAAGGAATTTCTCCCTCTCTCTTTGTTTTGGACAATGTCCCAGTGATAGCTGCATCTCCTCACTGATCCTGACTTTTTGGACATCTGTCCCTATGTGGTCTCAGTTTCTGGGCTCTGTTACCACCACCTCCTTCCTTCCTTTTTTGCTCCACTCTAGGAATGTAGAAGGCTTCTGCTGCTACCAGTGTCTGAACTGCCTCACCTCAGCACCCCATGATCACTCTCCAACTGCACCTTCCCATTCCTAGACCACAGGAGAGGGCACACTATGACTCACCCACTAAGGTGAAGTTGGTTGCAACTTCTCACATAAGGAATAATTCTTTAATAAATGTCATGCTTTTTATAACCCTGGATTTTCTGCTTATGATAAACCCTCAGGAATGGACATGCTGAGTCAAAGGGTAGGAACAGTTTTAAACCTCTTGTTACACATCATTACAAGCACCGAAATGTATTAATGTCAAGATATTCTTTAGATAACTGGAGACATTTGAATGGACTAGGCATTAGCTTATATGAGGTTATTTTAAAATTTGTTAGCTTGATCCTGACAATGTGATTATGTGAAAAATTGGCTGCTATTTTCAAACTTGTATACTGAAATATATGGGGGGATGACATGTCTAGTGTTTGTTTTGAAATTATCATACAAAATGGGAAATGATAAATGACGTGTAGATAAATCTAAATTTTAAAATCTAGGCCATGGTGCACTTATGTTCATTATGTTCTTCCTATTTTTGTATATATCTGAGAACTTTTGCCATGAAAAGTCATGTTAATGTCAATTAAAAATGTAAGTATATAAATTTTACCATATCTTCCTTAGCATCCAATTGTCTACTTTTTTCTCACTTACCTAGAGTTTTAAAAATTAGGCATTGTATTAGCTTATTACATTGTATAACCAATTACTACAAACTTACACTTCAAAGAGTATCCCTTTATTACCTCATGGTTTCTGTATGAGGTCAGGACTCTGGGCAGGCTTAGCTGGGGTTTCATCTATGCTTAGGGGAAGATTGGCTTCCAACCCCCCAGATCGTCAGCTGTAGGTTTCACAGCAGCTGGCCCCTTCGAAGCCAGCAATGCTGAGTCTGCCAGCAAGACAGTATTATATAATACAATGCCAACTAACACAACACCATCACCCTTGCCATGAACTAATTAGAAGCCTGAGACAAGTCCTACCCATACTACTTGGCAGCATGTATACAGGAGGTAGGAGTCATGGGGCACCTTACAATCTGTCCTCCATGAGTGTGTAATAATGGAAGAAATTGACAGCCCGCATAAGTTCAAAGATATGAGTCATGTTGTGCAGGGAACAGGGTCAGGGCTGGAACCAGAGACCAGGTTTCCCTGTGTACTCTACCACCATTCCATGATTCTGCCAGAGCCATTATCTTTCCATCCTATTGCCCCCACTTCCACCCCTAGTTTCTGCCCTCTGCCTCCTGCTCCCCTTCATACTCTGCTCTCCGATCTGAAATACTCTCTTGGGAAGGTCACTGCAGGGTCTGCTCTCACTGAGGACTAATGGTGGACAAGACTCACCAGGATTCCTGGCCCAGAGTGTCTGCTGAGTAACAAAAGATCACAGATTATTTGCTCTGACAGGATGAACCTGACTCCTAGACACTTGAGGCTATACACAGTCACTGGGGATGTTTTGGGCGGAGAGAACAATATGACATTATCCTGGGACAGTCAAAGCCATGCTGGTACAGCAACCTGGAGGAAATTTGGGGATCTGCAGATCTCCGTTATAACCCTCAGCCCATAGTTCAGTCTCTGAGCAACGTTGGGTGAGTCATCTAGTTTCCCTGAGCTTCAGTGCCCTTATTGACAACCAGAGATACTGTTATTCATGCCTCCTTTATAGGAGATGGATGAGTGAGTGGAAAGCATTTGGTAAATGATGAATATCAGAGGTCATAGTCATCATTACTATTACTGAGCACTTCCTAGGAGCAGAAAGTCATCACATGATTCATGAGCAAAAGTGGTTCCCCTTTCCTGCATGTTCAAAGAAAGGAAAGACAGCCAATCAGGGAGGATAGTGCTGCAGCTGGAGGTGGTAGTAGCAGAGTGAGTTACTGTCCACGGGGAGGGACAGTTTATCCTTGAACTTGGAAGGGTAAAGAGGAGGCTGCCTTGACAAAGCAGTGACCCTCAACTAAGGGACACGGCCGCCCTAATCAGGTCTGTATTGAGGCAGCAACAGAAATAAATCTCCCACCTTCAATCTGCCAGGGTTCTCCTTGCCAAATCCAACCAGATGCTCTGAGGCACAGATGTCTGCTGATATCTCTATACAAACCAGCCTGTCAGGTGGGAGCACTGAGGGTGAGGTGATGAGTTCATCTGGTGGGCATGGCAGGAGATCTGGCCCTGTGTACCTTTTTGCCTCTTGTCCTTAGACCAGTGAAAACTTTTCCCCTATGACAAAGGATGTGGGAGGTTTCGGCAACACTGTGTTAGCAAGGTTGCTTATAGCCACTTGAAGCTCGTACCTCCATTCACCAGCCATCTTTATGGAGACAGTGGGTACAAAAGAAGCAATTGATATGACACATGGCTGCTATAGTCCCATTTCCATGGCTCTCTGGTGATCTAAATTGTGAGTCATCCTCCATTCATTCTATGCCCTCTCACAAAACTTCAGGTGATGCACTTCTTTCCCTGGTGTGGTGACCCAAACCTTCTTTCTGGAAGGATCTGAGATCTCAGTGGTCTGGTCTTTACTGGGTTGTCCTGCTTGCCAAAGCCAGAGTGCAGGTAAGGAAGTACCTGGGGTCCCCAGTTATATACTGCTTTCTTATCTTAGTCCTCCTGCCCCTGTTGTGAGGCAGAAACCAAATCTCCTGTGATAACCAGGATCTGTTGCATGGGCTCACATAGTGACTCCTTCTCTGCCTATTGATCCAGAGTCTGAAGGAGCCTAAATGGCCAACACATAGTTTCAGCTTTCAACTTAAAATCATTGTGTTAACTGGTAAAAGTGTGTGCCCCAAACCACTCAATTCCAGACCATGGGCAACGGCAGCAATGTTTATTCCAGTGAGTCTGTGTGGGGAGTAGTGAAAGAGGTGTCTTCTGTATTTATTCTTGCTTTCCAGTCCAAGTATCCAGACTCCAGGAACCAACTGTGTTAGGCATACTGCTCCCTGTTGGTGCACGGCATGGTTCCCTGCTTATTTTGTAATAGGGCCTCCAGTTTTTAGTCAAATACTTCGGGGGGTGGAAGATGGGTCCACCACATCAGTTTCTGTGCAGTAAAATGCTTCCTTGGGTCAGCACCACTGTAATGATGGGACACTCTTGTATGACTATGGTGGTAGTTCAGGCAAAATCACCCTGGGGAAGAAAAGCAAATTTATATGCAGCCCTGTTCCTAGCTCTTGGAGTAGAAAACAAGGCCGCTTCCTCTCTGAGGGGAGAGATCTGATATAATCAACCAGTCACCAGCCAGCTGGCTAACTACCTCCCATGGTGCCAGTTTGTGGACTCAGCAGGGGCCTCTGCTGCTGATAGGTCTGCAGTAGGCATTGAGCCATGGTGAGTGGAAGTCCATGTCCTTGCCTTATGTGGCCTTCATTCTGGCTACTATAGCCACATCAGCCCATTAAACAAGCACTGGGTGGCTTGGAGGAGCTGCTGATTTATAACCATAGGTCATCTTATTCACCCAAGTGATAAGTGCTTTCTGTGTTACAGATACCCTCTGGTGGGCAGTTATGTGGGACGTGTCTACCTTCACATCCTGAGATTCTTCTGACAAGTTCAACCACACACTTCATTGGCACCAGTTTTGTTTACACGAAGATGCCAGTCACCTAAACAGCCCATTATCAATTAACTATCTATAAGCGAAAGTAAAGAAGTAGCCCAGGCCATCTCTTCTTGTCCCCAAAGTGGGTAATAAGATATATCCCCTGAGGCTCTGCCCCTGAAAGACTCCACCTCATCCCGTATTGCAGGACCAACCTTGATCAGAGTTGTAATCCAGTTTCATCTCTGGCTGGTGTCAGAATACAGTGCTGAAATATCCTTCTATAAACCAGGCCATCACTTTTGCCCCTCCCACCAGTTGCTGTTAAGGAACTCCCCGTGAGCTTATGGGTGTAGGTTCAGAGAGAAATGGGAAAAAGCACAGAGATAAGTGCCACTGACCCATAGTCAATTCTGCTAGCAAGGTAACTTGGTGTTCATGGTCAAACATCCATTTCTATCTGGACTCAGAGGAAGTCAAAAGTGGTTTTCAAATACATAAAGTTGTCCATACACATACACACAAAATTTGCTTTACTTTAAAAATCCTAGGGTTCTACAATGTGATTCTCTTGCCAGAACTTGTATGTGGTTCCACATGGCCTCCTGGCCTGCTACAAACACTACTGGTGCTGTGGGGTCACAAGGCGCAGTGGCAGGGCAGCTGGCCTGAATCTGCTGCATGGCTCTTCCTTGCTGCGAACTCCACTCCAAAATGGCAGCTGATACATGGGCTACCTGATGAATGAGTCAGAGCAATACAGTGGTATGTGGCGTACATTCCCCCCATCCAAACAGACTCACCAATAGCTATACCCTTTTTATGTGATGGGTAGTACAAGGCACCACAACTCACCTCTGGCTTTAGAAAAGATACCCTGACATGATTCTGGACCAAATGGACTCCAGTGTGAAAACCTTCTGAGCTTTTGCTGGCTCTATCTTTCTCTCTCTGAGATGTGTCACTTGTAGGACTTTCCTAAACACCCCATCCAATTAGCAAAATGACATCAGTATAATCAGACAGTTCAATGTCCTGTGAGATATCAAGCTCATCTGAGGTCCCCTTGAGCCCTATTATGACAGGGAACTGGAGAGGTAACATGGCTCTGGGGACAAAACAAGTAAAGGCATACCATTGTTCCTCATGCTACTTTTGATTTCCCATACTGATAGAAATGGAAAGAAAATATTTTCTCAGCCAATGGCTCCAGACGAGGTGTCAGGTCTGTGTGACTTCCTCCAGTAGGACAGGTGAACGGCAGCTTCTCTCAGCATCATCTTGTGATTATGTGTAGGAGAACAGGCTTTATTCTCTAGGACCCATCTGGTTTCTGCACCAGTCAAAATGCAAGTGAAGGGGATGTAACAGGAAGGACTGCCCCACGTCTCTTCCATCTTTGATGTGGGCATCCATTTCTGCAAGTCTCCAGCAGATGCACTGTTGTCTTTGCTATGCTTTCTGGGCAGAGGAGAGGTAGGTGAGAAACAGTTTCCAGACTTCTACTTGACACTTTCTCCGACAATCCACAGGCTAGGGAAGCAATGTGAGGACTCTTCTAGCTGCTGTCTCCTCCCAGCATTCATTCTGGAGATGGGAAAATAACCCCAGGATGGGGCATAATTCCACTGGCCCCTCAGTTAGAAGGTCTCAGGCTAAGACTGCAAGTGACACCTAGCCTTCCTACTCTCTATCAGTATCCCTCAGGACAACCTGCCTTTTCAGCCACCAGGCATAATCTGAGCCAGTGTCCAGTAACCTTCTGGATGGTCTGGGTCTTTCCTCAGAGGACCATTGTCCTGATAAATGCCCCAGGTCCCCCTTGGAGGGAGATTCATGGTGTGCACTTTCCTCAAAGGAACACAGAATTATCCCTTCCTTCTCTAACCAAAGGCTGTGAGCCTCTGAAACTGCTCAGTCTGGGAACTGAGTAAGAGGCGTGGCACATATTACCATAATTTGAGACAGGTTTCTTTCTGTATGTGTCAAGCAGAATCTTAGAAGACACCCATCTATTCCTCCCCCTGAGTTACTGTGATTGTTAATGACTCCAGTGGATCACTGAAACAATTCAATAACTGCTCCACGCCTGTAGCGTCTTGTGATAGTTGTTACCATTTATTTATTTCTGGTGGTCAAATGCTTCTATTCTTTTGGGCTCTCATTACCCATACTGAGATTAGGAACCTTTTGTTACAACCCCCTCCACAGCCATTTCTGGCCTACAGAAGAGGGCCACCAGAGAGCCCTTCAGCATGATGTGGTCCCCCATCCCATAATGCATTCCTCACTGCTCTGGGCGGGGGGTGCATCCTCCAGCTTCTCCTTGGGTAAATGGCTTGTATGGATTCTATCTGCCCCCAACATGCCTGCTTCTCTAAGCCTCCAGACTCTTCCCTGTTTTGGCTCCAAGAAGGTTCTGAAATGTCATCTTCATGCTGTGAAACTTTCAGGGTCTACACTTCAATTAGCCTAGCAGATAATTAAAACTGTTCTTGAGTGAAAATATTCCCAAATCCAGCTAGGGCACTATATCTGTGAACAAGCCCAATTGAATCTAATTTTCCCCCTTAGTTTAAATCCTTGAAATACTGATGCAAATTGACAAGGTCTTATAGTCTTTTATTGTATCGATTTATGGTGTAAATCTTGGGCTCCTCCTGTAGACTGGACTGGGTGGAACCTCTATCATGAACCACTGTCCCAGATACCACCCCCATGGGCTTTTATGAAGAAGGGGTGCTCAGAAACGTCAGGAGGGTCTGCCTCTGCTGGCAAAGGGGATCCAGGGAAATTCATGGATTCAAAATTCTCAGCTCCATTCATGTCTTCCCAGATGTCTCTACTCCTTCCCCATCAGTGCCCTTCCTTTTGTACAAGAGACTGGAGGTGGGAGGCATGCTATTTTGCCATCAGATCCTAGGTCTGGGCCTCAGTCATCCTTTACTCACACGTATAGGACACGAGGAACTGCTGAGCTGTCATGGAACCCTTCTGTTCACGTGTTCTCAATGATGTCATCATAATTTAAAATTTCTCCCCTCCTGTGTCCAGTTATGCATAATGGTGAAGGACAGGCTGCATGTATAATGGTATGTGCCAAATAGCCTAGGAGCATGGTAAGATGTAGATATACTCTATGATGGTCACACAACTGTGTAACTGCCTAAGGCTATGCTTCTTAGAATACATCCCTGTCATTTAATGGCATATGACCACAAATAGACTCTCTTGGGCTATATGGTGAGGCTAGGTGGCTCCACTATTTTTACAGTCTGAATCGTTGCCAAAGAGGGTAAGTGCCACAGCCATGCACTATCCCAAAGCCTGGCTGGCCTTCTAACCCACATAAACTCCATCCTGTATGACTACCAGTGACCATCCCATTTTCCTCAGCAGAGAGATTGTCCTCATATTGCAAAAATATAGACCCACTTGGAAACAGCCCAATTGCCCATCAACTGGAGACTGGATAAAGAAGATGTGGTTTTTCTATAAAATGGCTACTCAGCCATAAAGAATGAGAAATTAGAGACATTTATAGCTAAATGGATGCATATGGAGGCCATACTCTTCAGTGAGACAAATAGGACATACATATGTAAATATGGAATAGTTTCTCTGGTGTGAAAAACTAAAAGTGTAAGTAAGGTTTAAACTGTATAATTGAAAAAAATTAAAAACCAAAAAAACTCCACCAAAAGACTTCTACACTTAATTGACACTTTTAGCAGAATAGCTGGATACAAAGTCAACACCCCAAAATCAATAGCCTTCTTGTACACAAATAACATATTCACTGAGAGAGAAATTAGGGAAATAATTCCTTTCACAATACCATCCAAAAAAATGAAGTATCTAGGAATCAATCTAACAAAAGAAGCTAAAGACCTCTACACTGAAAACTACAGCACTCTGAAAAAAGAGATCAAAGAGGATATAAGAAAATGGGAAGATCTCCCCTGCTCCTGGGTAGGAAGAATTAACATAGTGAAAATGGCCATACTACCAAAACTGCTATACAGATTCAATGCAATCCCAATGGAAATTCCAACACTGTATTTCGCAGAACTAGAAAAAAGAATCCAAAAATTCATTTGGAACCATAAGAGACCCAGAATAGCAAAAGCCATCCTAGGCAACAGAGACATGGCAGCGGGTATAACAATTCCCAATTTGAAACTATACTGCAAAGCCACTGTGATAAAAACAGCATGGTACTGGCAAAGAAGCAGACCTGAGGATCAGTGGAACAGATTGGAAGACACAAAAACAACTCCAGATGTACTCAGCTACCTCATCTTTGACAAAGGAGTTGACCATCCCCACTGGAGGAAAGATAGCCTCTTTAATAAATGGTATTGGAAAAACTGGATTTCAACCTGCCAAAGATTAAAACTAGACCCTTATCTTTCATCATGCACTAAATTAAAATCCAAGTGGATTAAGGATCTAAATACTAAAACAGAAACACTAAACTTGCTGGAAGATGAGTTAGGCAGAACTCTTGAAGACATTGGCATAGGAAAAGACTTTATAAACAAATTCTCAGTAACAGGGAACTAGCAGAAACAATCAACAACTGGGATCTCATTTTATTAAAAATCTGCAATGCAAAAGAAACAACAACAGAACTAAGAGACAACCTACAATGTGGGAAAAATTTTTACCAGCTTCTTCTCAGACAAAGGACCATTATCTAGAATATATAAAGAACTCAAAACAATCACCCCCCCGAATATAAGGCCCCAATTAAAAAATGAGCATCTGAAATGAACAGACATTTCTCAGACAAAGAAGTAAAAGCAGCAAGTAAATATATGAAAAAATGTTCCACATCACTGGTCATTCAAGAAATGCAGATGAAAACAACACTGAGATTCCACCTCATCACACAAAGAATGGCTGCTATCAAGAAATCACTCAATAACAAATGTTGGCAGGGTTGTGGGGAGAAAGGAGCCATTGTTGGTGGGAGTGCAGACTAGTGCAACCACTGTGGAAATCAATATGGAGATACCTCAAAGAACCAGGACTAGAGGTTCCATTTGACCCAGCCATCCCTATGCTGGGTATCTTTCCAAAAGAATTAAAAGAATGATATCACAATGAGATATACACACCTATGTTTATAGTTGCAGTTTGTAATGGCTACAACTTGGAAACAGCCCATTTGCCCATCAATTGGAAACTGGATCAAGAAGATGTGGTTTTTCTATAAAATGGAATACTACTCAGCCATAAAGAATGAGACATTAGATTAATTCATAGGAAAATGGATACATTTTGAGGATATGCTCCTATGTGAAATAAATAAGTCACACATGTGAAAATACCGAATAATTTCTCTGGTGTGAAAAACTATAATAGTACATAAGATCCTAATGATATAATTGACCATGTGAAATAGGAAGAAAAGGGCTAAAGGTTTAGGGAAAATGGGGAGGGTAGGGAAAAGGTAATAAGGGAAAAGAAAAAATATGAGAAAATGAAAAAATGGAAATAAAGTGTTTGTAAATGGGGAGGGGAGGAGGGGGTGAAGGGAGGGCAGGGACAAGGGGAAAAGAATGAGAGCCAAGACCTGTCGTGTAAAGGTACAAGATCCCAATAATGAATGTAATTGTACTGTGTACCTTAAATGTACCAATAAACTCAATAAAAGAAAAAAAACTAAAATCAATCAATAAATAAATTGTATAATTGATAATGTGAAATAGGAAGAAAAGGGCTAAAGGAGTAGGGGAAGTGGGAAGGGTAGAGGAAAGAAAAGAAAGAAAAAATATAAGCAAAGGAAAAATGGAAACAAAGTTTTTGTAAATAGGAAAGGGTGGAGGGGGTGAAGGGAGGGCAAGGGTATAGGGGAAAAATTAAGAACCAAGACCTGTCATTTAAAGGTACAAGATCCCAATGATGAATGTAACTGTACTGTATACCTAAAATGTACCAATGAACTTAATGAGAAAAGAAAAATAGGAGCAACTCATGTCCACAATCTCTACTTTCTAGGCTGCTCTTGGCGTGTCAGGGTCCCTGTAGAGTCAAGCTGGAATAATTTGAGAGACCTTGTTCATAAAGGTGGTTGGGTCATAAAGAATGTGGCAGTGATTGAGGTTAATGATACCAGAACTGTCACCTCTCCAGGTCTGGGGGGTTTCAGGAAGGGAGATTTCAGGAGCCTAGAAGAAGAGAGTTGGGTGCCTCCAAAGAAGGAATGACCTTAGATGAAGACTACACTGTCCCTGTTGAGGAGAAGGCAGGGAAATAGAAATCCAAGGTCATGTCCTTAGGCCGTCTAACGTCCTGTTAGGGTTTTTCACTCACCAAACCTAGCAACACCCAGAGGCACAAGGCCCCTGGATATTGTCTGCATGGTCCAGCCTCCTGGGCCCAGAACAGCAAGTAAGGGCGAAGAGTGGATGTAGATGGGAGACCTCCAGACACAGTTTCTCTCCATAAGAAGAAAGAGGCAGAGCACATGTAGTTCATCCCGGCCAAAAAGAAGGGAAAGTCCTCTGGGGCAGCGGGAAGGAGGTATCTGAGGAGAAGAGTGCAGAAACAAATGTGCAGAGACCAGGAGTGCAGGGCGCATACAGATGGGGGCCTAGCTGCCTAGAAGCTCGGTGTTATCATGTGCAGCTGACAGGCAGGTCTGCACTCACATCCTGAGCCTAAATCTCCAGGGTTGATCTGGAAGACGCTCTATTTCTGGAGCCTATCCATCTTACAGCTAATTATCTCCCACTTTAGACACCCAGAGACCTCTGGAGACTCCCGTTACGGTGGTCCACACTGGGGTGGCTAACCTTATCTATGGCTCCAGCCCAGCATTCTACCCTGCTGTCCATCCATCATATATGGCTGGGGGCCTGGATCTCACCAGCTTATCTAAGCAAGGTCACCCTGTAGCCAGCTTCTCTGAGTGCCCAGCCCTGCCAGGCAGGCATGTTCCCAGGTCTGCTGGCCGCTGTCAGTAGCAGCTTTGACAGAAGAAAGAACAAGGTGATCACAGAGCCTAGAAGAGGAAACCTTCTCCCTGGAGTATTGGTGAAGAAGGTTTCAAGGAGGAGGTACCATGTTACTACATCTGGAGCGTCTATGGCAGTTCACCAGATTTAGAGGAGAACATGTGTGAGGGAGAAGGCAAGATACCCCAAAATCTGGAGGCACAGAGAATGCCACATTTCTGGTGGTTGGGAAGATGAAAAGGGATGATGCTGGAGAAATCTGCAAGGACCAAATAAAAAAGAGATTTAAATACCAGGCTTGGGAATTTAGATCTTACCTTAAAGACAAGGGGGCAGGTACTGGGGAGTACTATGAAGATTGATGGGTCTCGGTTTGCATTTTCCTCAGGTTGCAATTTTACTCATTTTATAGAAGAGGATACTGAGACCAAGGGCAGGTAAGAAACTTGCACAAGGTGAATCAAGCATGTAAGGCACATGTCATATTTTTGGAGCATATTAGCTCTTTGAACTCTTAGGGAGACAAGCAGTGTGGTATCATGCTTAGTTAGCTAAGCATAATGATGGAAAACCAACTCCAACATGGAGGGCTGTTGCAGCAACCACCATTTATCACACTCGAGAATCTACGGTCTAGGTAGGGCTGGGCAGGGAACCGTGTCTCAGTGCTGTGTGAATCCATGGCGCAGCTTGTTAAGGTGAAGTGTAGAGCAGGGCATGTCTATGGCTGGGGTGCAATTCCTGGGAAGGGTGCTCAGGTTGCCAACTGGTCTCCTTGGCCCTGACAGAGACTTAGAAACAGTCAAGGGATTAGGGTTGAGACCAACAGGTGGCAGGCAGAGAGTCAGGAGGCAGCTCCTCCTTGGTCAGTCCCTCTCCGTTTTAGGGGTTTGTCCCAGGGGGTTAAAGGTCACTCTGTCTGTCCCTCAGAAAAATGGAGGCCTTTGACTAAGAAGGGAAGTATAAGTGGGCTCTTTGCCAGCTCATCAAGGTGCAGGAGCTCCCGTGGGGTCTCCACCCACACTTGCACATCTCTACTGCTAGCTACTTTCTGCTCCTGGTTGTGGAGCCACTTGGCTTAAAGTTTCCATCCTCTTGAGTGAGAGGCCTACCTTGCTCTGACCTCAGCATCCTGGTCCCTGATCCACACTGTCTGCCCACTCCTCTCTCAACCCCACATAGCCAAGAAGCAGCAACAAACAGAAGGCAGAAGTAAATGGCACCCATGGAGCCTTCACCGTATTCCTTAGGAATCTTCTAGGTGGTCGGCATGTAATTGTCACACTCCCACAAGACAAGATGGACTTTCCCTGTCTTGTTCTCTGCTGGATCCCTAAGACCCATTGTGGCACATATTAGACATACAATAAATATGTGTTGAATTGTTGTCCTCATTTTTCTGCTGAGAAAACCAAAGCACAGGGAGGCGATTACCTGCTGAAGATCACATTCCCCTCAGGTGGCAGAGATGGGATTTAGAACCAAACTCCATGCTCTCAATCCCAATATGCATGCTGATTTTTAAAATACAATGTCAACCACCCTCTTATCTTTTCTTTTCCCAGGAAAACATCTCCTAATCCTTGATTATTCCTTAGAGAGGTAATAACAATAAGATTATATACATGGCATGATGGGATGCTCTTTTCATGTACCAACTTAATTGTAACATCATAACATCACGATGGAAGATGTCAGAGACATCTCCCACCTTGTTCACTGATGCATCCCAAAGCTAAGTCAGGCACATACTATATCCATAGTAGATATATAACAAACTAGGTAACTTTATGGATGAAGGACTGAAGTTCGGAGAGCTTAAAAATACTCACCCAAGGTGGCAGAATTAGTAAATGACAAAGCACTGACTTGGAGCCAGTCTCTGCTTCCAAAGATGTATTGCACCATACTGCTTGGCTTCTGTGTGTTTCAGTTTCCTCATCAGTTGAACAGGATCCCAAGGCTGAGGGCTTCTGTGTGGACAAAGGATATAATGGATGTGAAAATGGCCTGCAAATAGGGGAGTGGAACACTCTTCTCTGTTTCCCTCTCTGTGTCAGATGCCTGTGAAGGGCCTGGTGCAGAGTAAGAGCTAGGGGTGCTGTGGTGGAAAGCCTGGTGACAGTGGGAGATACCTACAGGGTAGATGTGAAACCAGGATGGAGGGGTGGATGGATGGATGGAAAGATGGATGGGTGGGTGGGTGGATAGAAGAGTGGATGGGTGGATAGGTAGGTAGATGCATAAGTGGATGGATAGATGGATGGATCATAGCTGGATGGGTAGATAGATGGGCAGATGGAAGGATGGTGATGGATGGAAATGAGTTTTGAAGAAAAAGAGTGTGGCCTCTGGTTTATCCAGCAGAGGGCACCAAGACTCCACTAACTGGCCTTCGATCGTGTGCTTGGCAGTGAAAAGCCTCCCGCAGGGAAGCGCACCTGTGATCAGAGCTGGGCTTCACCTGCAGCTTATTGGTATTTCCAATAGGTGAAAAGGTCAAGACACGGAGGACCAGCTCAGAGTCGTTGCAGGACAGAGGTGAGATGTAAAAAGTATAGGTCCCACCTGCTGCCGGTACAGGGCCTCAGAGAAAGGGATCACAGGTCCCAGTTCCTTTTTATAAAACAGAGAAACAGCTGCGCCCTTCTGTACTCAGACTAGATGAGATGCACGGTTGGGGTACCTGGTATACTGGAGGTCCTTGGAACTTCAGGTGAAGCATTTGGGGGCCCCAGGCCACAGCCAGTCAGTATGAAGTGGGTGTAAAGGTATCAATCTCTGAAGAGCCTACTGAGTTTTCTTTGAGAATAGAGGAAATTAACTGTATTAGAATGAAAGTGGTCTCTGAGGGATGAAGATGGTCTGGGGGAGCTGCTGGGAGGCAGGGGAAGATTGCTGAAGACTCAGGAGGCTGGGTTAAGTGAGCCCACTCTGCCACCCAGTGGAGACCAAATGCACACTGCATTGTCCACCTGGAGGCACAGGTGCAGGGTGGTAATGTGGGAAATTAATCGCTTAGTGTGGAACTTGACTTTCACCTCCCCAGCGGCTGGATGTGAATTTGTCATCTTAACGGGGTGTTAGGAGGCTGAGTTTTCCCTCTGGTGGTTATTTTTTATGCCGCTGTCACTCCCAGTTCCTGCCAGGGATTTATCATAGGGACAAGACCCAGCTGAACCGCATCAGAAGGAGTTTGTAGGCTCAGTAGGTTCCCTGCAGAAATCCAAACTCAGTTCTACACGACTGCAAAACACAAGTGGAGCAGAGCATGGTGGTGTATGCCTATAATCCCAGGAATCTGGGGGGCCAAGGCAGGAGGATTGAAAGTTGTGCCCAGCCTGGACAGTCTAGCAACTTAGTAAGCACTTGTCTCAAAATAAAAAAATTAAAAAAGGGTTGGGGATGTAGGTCAGTGTGAAGGCCTTGTATTCAATCCCTTAATGCCTCACCCATCAAAAAACAACCTTGAGCTGAGTTGCCCCAAAAGTGGCTATGCGGGAGCCGAGGGAACAGTCAGTCTGCCCAGAATATGAAGTGGCAAGTAGGCTTCAGGTTGTAAGCTGGTCCCCTGGCTCAGTGAGAGCAGATCTGGAGGCGGGTAGAGGATCACACAGAAAGGTTCTTTCAGTCTGTGCTTTTTCTTCTCATCAGGCAGTGTCCAGACCTGCTGAAGTGCTGCAGGCCGCTGCAGAGACAAGTAGGTCACAGTCACCATGGCCTAAACCCTCTCCTGCTGGGGCGGCAGCCAGTATCATTTTCACACTTCAGCAGCCCCAGTGCACCTCACCCAGAGACAGCCAATGCTTCCTGCCACCAGGAGGGTCTGCCCTTCCACCAGCGTGCCTGGTTGAGCTCCCCTGTGTTCCTCTGTGATAAAGCTCCTCTGGTGAATCCTATTCACTCGTCCAGCTTGCGGAGAGGTACATACCTGTGCATCTGCGGGATTCATGTTCTCTGGTCTCCTAGTCTATGCCAGCTATATTTATGATGCAGTGAGACAAGGATAACTGCCCTCGGCATGGCAAGGTTTGGAACCTGGCAGAGGGGAGAGTAGCTGTGTCTGGAACAGGACTCCTGATCTGGCAAACCCTGGCCCTCTGTCTGCATACATGTGCAGGTGGGTGAGTTGCCCCCTGGTACTTCACCCCAAGCCCCAGCTAAATGATGGAGCCAGACAGAAGCAACAGAGGGAAGGCTGGTGGAGACCTGCCAGTGGCACAGAGCCAATGGCACATAGCAAGGAGCTGATGGTAGAATCCAGAAATGATCAGCAATGAGGAGCGGAGCCCACACTTGTCAAAGGGAGGGCACAGGACTGAGTTTGCATCCTGGAGCACTGTCCAGTAGCTTTCCATGGCAGCATGTCTTCAGACTTCACTGAAGGCCAGGAACAGGACTGAGTGCAGAGCTGACACTAGGGTGTGGAGGAACCCACGCTGGCCCAGTGTCTCAGGGTCCTGGGGTAGGGAGTCAGGAAGGAGGCAGATCCTCTTTTGTGTTGATAAACCACAACTATGCACCTCCAAGGCTGGCCTGTCATAGCTTACTCTAACACCTGGGCCACCTTTTGGGAATCTTCTTGCTTCCTTCAGAGTTGCCTCATGGCTCCACCCGCAAAACACCAGACTGGGAACTCTGACTCCAGTGTGGTTCCTGTTGGGATAGTGTGTCTGACATATTTTATTTCTCTTGTGCCTTTTCCAGGACCAGGACTGGCTGCCAAAGGTCTGCTTCTACAAGCCAACTCCATAGCTCTCCACTCTGCCAATTCTTCAAATGTGGATTGTTACAGTGGGTAGAGGATAATATGGGCGGGACAGACTTGTGCTGGGCTGAAAGTTCTTCTTCTGACTGGCCTGTGCCTTGGGATCTGAGTTCCCCCTGCCTGTGATATAGAGGACAATGTGCCTGACTCCTTGGGTGACTTTGAGGTTGGTGTAGGGTGACAGGCACACATGGCATGGTACATACCTAGCAAATGTTTGCCAGATCTAGACTCCAGAAAGCGTGAGGGCAGGCTCTGAGGTGTGGAATCTGCAGGCTGGATGGGATTAAGCCAACTCTGAAGCCATGGGTGGGTCAGAAATCTCCCAGCTGAGTTTTGATCTGCATCCACATGGGGAACATTCCAAGAGCCAGGCTGGGGCTGGAAGCTTGCAATTAAGGCTGGAGACTCTAAAGAGAGGAAGCAGTCTTTAGGCGCTTGCAGCTGCGCCCAGCTGTCTGTGTCTGTGTGTATGTGTGCACGCACATGGACATGTGCACATGCACACACATGGGCTGGGGTTGCTTGTGGAGCTGATGTCTGTACTCTGGGATTGGGCTGTGGCAGTATTCCCACCATCTGAGCCTCATCTGGATTTCCGAGACTTCTTCAAGACAGAGGCAGCCAGCTGGGCCCATCATGCTTCCTGGAGTCAGACTTGCAGCTGCTGTTTCCATTACAGGGAGGAGCCTGGCTCTGGCAGGGGCTGCGTGGCATCCACTCCCAGTTCCCATTCCCCAGTTAGGGCACAAACAAGAAAGGAAGCTCTGAATGTGGATAAGGAAAAGGGTGGGAAGCTGGAACCACGGTGTCAGGAAAGACTGGGGCTGCAATGTTGGAGGGAGTTGGGAGCAGTGAACTAGTAGTAACGAGGTGAGAGGTGGAAAACAGAATTCAGAGCAAAGCTGTCAGCCAGGGAAGAGGTAGAAAACCAGTGAGGAGGGCAGAAAGAAAGACAGACATTATAGAAAAACAAGAGAAAGAGATTCAGAGAAAGAAAAATTAAAATAAGAAGTAAATGTTGAGAGAAAGAAATAGTCTTAGAAAGAGAAAAGAGGGGGAAAGACTATAATTAGAGGCAGAAGGTTAAGAATATAGGATAACAACACAAGGAGCAAATTAAAGGATGTATGTCAAGGATGGGAGGTTGGAGAGGATGGAGGAAAGAGGGGCCTTATCTAACCCTTTCCATACTTTCCAGATTTAAAAGCTGAGGCCTAATAAGATAAGTGGCAAAATCAAGTGCCAGTGACCGTGAGAGGAGAAAGAAACCTGAAGGAAAGATGACAGATGGACATAAAGTTCCAAAGGTGGGGAGAAAGGGAGAGACACGAGAGGGAAGAGAGGCCAGGTTGGCAGGCGAGGGACCCAGATACCCAGAGGAGTGGACCCGCCGGTGGCCAACAGACTCCAGGGTCTCCTGCCAGACCCAGGGCCTAGCCACAAGTAGAGATAATAGAAAGATGAGCAGGACACATGGCTGGGATATGGGGCAGAACTGACAAGATGCCATTTAGCAGACACTAACACAGAATTTCCCAGTGATGCAGTCTTTAGACCCCTTCCAACCAGAAATGCAATGAGAAGCGTACAGCCTGGAGGGGTATCTAGGAAATGCCAGCCCTGGAAATCACAGCCATGTACCTAGACATGAGGTGTCTCGATATGAGACTACCCAGCACAGGGCATTGGTGCTGTAACAGGGAGTATACAGGACAGTGAAATACAGCTCCCAGCGTGCTCAAGCACCCTTAGTGAACTTGACTTACAAAGGCACAGAAAGAAGCAGACTATGCATTTTAGAGAAAGGGCCTCAAATCAAGAGTCTCACCTCAAGATGTATTCTTAAGGTCCCAAGATTTCAGGGGGGATTGTAATTATGTGTTTTCATTTAATCGACAATATTTGAGTGCTCTTCCCAATTATAAAAACAAACGATTTTCTTTCCAGTGACAATTCAAAATTAAAAGACACTTTTATAGAATAAAACACACATTTCCGAAGTCAGGATTACTCAGGAAAGACATCCAGAGGATCAGATCTCTATCTACCTCCCCTGGGTGGAGTCCTGGGACCACAAGGGGGTGAGGTCCAGCATGGGCTGTTAGAGCACAGGCAGGGTGAGAAGGTGTCCACACGAATAGGGCGCAGTGGTTGTGGGGGATACGGATCACATGTGGTTACATGTGATCAAATAAATGCATGCAAGTGATCAGAAAACACACTGAATATTTAAACTGTTAAAAAACATATTACACTGAAAGACCCATCACCATCCATCCCCCTAGAAAATTTCTCCCTTGCTTTGAACACACTTACCCCATAATTCTTGCCACTTTCTGAAGTAGTTCTGGAGGTCCTCTCTCATGTGTATCTTTACTTGTGCTGTTGTGGATGCCTGGTTGTCCTGAACTGATTCAAAACATTAACCTTTCAAGGTCATTTTGACGTTGGGAAAGAGCCAGAAATCTCATGGTGCCAGATGTAGTGAATGAGAACACACTAAATGGTTTTACAAGCCGGCCTTTCTGTTGGGTGGCACTCAGCAGTAGCATTCACCATGTTTCTTTAATCACACCTCAGAAAGACACTCATGAAAGAGGACTTCCAGAACTGCTTCAGAAAGTGGCCAGGAGAATGGGATAATTGTGTTCAAAATAAGGGGGAGTATCTTGAGGAGAGTTAATGGCAATGTGTCTTTTATTGTAATAATTTTTAAAATTTTAAATATTCACTATATATTTCAGTAAACCCTTGCATATCAAAGTAATAGAAGCCAGGCTCCCTACTGTTAGGAAGGAGTGTAGCAAGTATGAAAAAAGACAAAAGAACCACTCCAGTGGTGTTGGATTGGCATTGGCAGCACTGGTATGAACTCATGGGGAGATATGCTCTCTGGCTGTCTTCACTGAGAGAGATCAAAGCCTCAAGCACTTGAATTTTGTCTTCTGAAGGGAGCTAGAGCCCCTTGTAGAAATGGTTGATTGCAGGCCTGGCACAGGGAAAGTATAAAAGCCTCGAATCGAAAATCTTGCTGTGCTAGAAAGGAAGTATATGCTCAAAGAACAGGGGGCACATCAATAAGGCCCAGAAAGTACTGTGCAGGAGTTCCCATAGGGCAAATCTGGATCTCTCTGTGCATCAAAATCAATAATGATAGTAATTGATTTTAACTCCTTGAATAAAATAAGAAACCATGAGTCCAAACTGTGAGAGAAGAAAGAAGGAGAGAGGGAGCATTCGAGGAAGCACGGGATATTTATACAGTCTCAAAATGCCTCCCCACGGAATAGTTACTGATTATAAGTGAGAAAGGGATCATTTTCTGCAGCGAATGTGCTATGGAGAAGCCTGGCAAATGCTCTCTGTGAGACCAAAGTGCACATCACCAGGGATGGGACACGTGGAAATCACACACCCTCTGACAGGAGGCAGCGAGGACACAGCGGCCTCTGGAATGGTCCTGTGGAAGATACCAAGCTTGAGTGCTGTTGTGAGCAGGCATCAGACAAGCAAAAAGTGAAGGGTGTTCGACAGAACTCGCCTGTAATTGCCAAGGTTACTTGAAGCCTAGCCACTGCTTCATGTGCTGACTGAGACCTGACAACACAAGACTTTGAACTGGACCTCTTGGTCATACAGGATAACAGGACAACTGCAGAAATCTTCATGGGCCTAAGGGGCAGATGAGGGCATTGCATCCACGCTTGGTTCCTGATTTTGATGATCCTATTGTGGTTATACAGGACAAGGTCTTTGTTTGTAGGAAACACTGGAATATTTGTTCAGGAAAAATAAATTCTGTATATTCTACTTGCAGGTCTCTGCACATTTGAAATCATTAATTAAAAAAAAAAATCTGCCCACAATAAATCTCTCAAGATGAAGTGTTTTTCATCAATGTGATCCCAAACCTTCAAAGAATGAATAAGCCCTGATTTGCACAACTTTGCCTTACCAAAATCAAAGGCGATGTGGTAAAGGAAAATTCTAAATTTATGGAACCTGTGAACATATATGCAAAAACATTCAAATAAAATACAAGCTAAGTCTAGGGCACTAGCCTCCAGGAGCCACAGTTTATTGTTTTTCTTTTTCTTTTCTCCCCCCCTCTTTTTTTTTTGAGATAGGGTCTCACTCTGTAATTCAGACTGACCTTGAACTCACTATGTAGCCTGGGCTGGCCTTGGACTCATAGAAATTCTGCTGCCTCAGCCTCTGGCACGCTGAGCCCTTTCTTGAGAATCAGTGACCAGCCCTCTTCCTCCTGTCTTGCCCTGCAACAGAGGTGCACTGGACCTCTTGGACCTAAGGACACTCAGTAGGAGGTGGGCAGAGCACAAGAAGGAGGAGCCAGCATGCTTCCTGGAGGTCCACCCCAGACTACCCCAGACTGCCTGCTTGGGACTGCTGTGATGTGAAACCAGCCATGCTCCCCTTGTGTTACTCAAGCTACTACTTTGAATTTTCTGTCATTCATAGCCCTGAATCTAATTCGACTTAATATTTAACAATAACAGATTAAAGGAGAAAAACCAATATTTCATCAATAAAGTTCAGTATCTGTTCACAATTTAAATAAAACTCTTAGAAAACTTGAAACTGATGAAAACTTTCTTGACTTCATAAAGAGTACCTATAATACTACCCCCCTGCAAGGAAACACCATATTCAGTGGTGAATTTTTTAAAAATTCTCTTTAAAATCCAGAAAAGGACACAGGTGGCTACTGTCAGGACTTCTATTAAATTCTATCCTCAAGCTTTCAGTCAGCAAAATAAGGAGAAGGAGGGGCTGGGGACTTGGCTCAGTGGTTCTGCTGCCTGCCTGGCAAGCACAAGGGCCTGAGTTTGATCCTGGGTACACTAAATAAATAAATAAGTAAAATAAGGAGAAGGAATAAGAAGTATACATATATGAAAGGAAAAAGCAAAACTATTGCTTACAGATGATATAATTGTCCACATAGATTCCACAAATAATCAAAAAATCATTAAAATAATAGTTTAGCAAGATGCATGAATATAAGGTAAATATATAAAAAGCAGTTGCATTTTTATATACTCGCAACATAAAGTTCAAAAACATAATTTTATAAAAGTCGTATCTACAGCCAGGCATGGTGTTATACACCTGTAATCTCAGCCTCTCAAGAGGCTAAGGCAGAAGGATTTTAAGTTTCAGACCACTCTATGCAACTTAGGGAGGCCTTTTCTCAAAATGAACAATAAAAAGGGCTGGGGATGTAGTTCAGTGGTAGAGTGCCCGAGACTCAACCCCCAGTACCCCACCAAATATTTGTAATATGCTTTAAAGGAAGTTTAACAATAAATGGGCAAGCCTTTACAAGGAGAAAGATTTTAAACTTTATTAAAAATGATCAATTATTAGTGTCAAATAATAGATTTCTAGATTCCACAATTTTTCAGTCAAAATTCCAGCAGATCTCTTGGAGAATTTTGCAAATGAGTTTCATAGAGACTTAAAAAAAAAAAAAAAGATCAGCAAAAGACCAAGATATTCTCCAGTAAACCAAAATAAAATGAGGCAGCCTACTCTACAAGCTATTGAGACTATTAAAAGCCACAGAAATTTAAAAAGTGTGTTAGAAATAGCAAAGGGACACACCAGAGACCCCAGAAATCAGCCCCTGCACATATGGAATCTTGACAAATGTCATCTGTGTTGTAGATGAAGAAGGAGTTATTCACTGAGTGGGGCTAACACTCCTGCTTGTCTTTATGGAAAAAATGAAAGCTGGTGATTTGTACCTTATACCAAACACAGGATCACTTTCAGATGGATTAAGATCTTAACACAAGAGAGCTAAGTTTTTTGCTAATTTAAGGAGAAAATATGGGCACATTTCTTTATGAATTTAAGGAAGAATTTAGCAAGACATTAAGATGCAAATCTGAATTGAAACTGCAATAAATTTGACTCCGATAGAGTTTGAACTTCTGTTTATCAAAAGCTGTCACAAAGAAAGCAAAAATTAAAGTGCAAAGTGGGTGTGGCAAATGGTCTTCTAGAGCCTTGGTACTCCTCATCGAGTGGCAGAGTTTACATACTCTGCCCTTGAACCTGGGCTGGTGCTTGTGACAACATAACGCTGCCAAGGCTTGGTCATAAAAATGCCATGCACTTTGGCCTCTGTGCCCTGCTTTTGGCTTTGTATTTTCCCCGCCACACATGCACTAAGCAGGTGACACAGAGCTGCTTTCTGTCTCAGACCCTGGCTTTACCACATCTGATATGCTAACACCTGCTTAGGCTTGGTCTTCTCCAGCTGTCTTGGCACGGCCCTCCCCCATGTCCAAATGGCCTGGAACCTTGCCCTGGCCCTTCTTGGTTACAGCCCCCACCAGAGCTGGGGAAAGACATAGAACCCAGCAATGAAAGGCCCGTCGTGCAGCATTTACTCATGCTGAATTGTCAAGGAGGGGAGGGTGGCCTGGATCAGACTCATGTATGAAGGGGAGCTGTGTCCTCACTAGTTGTCTGGCCTGTCCTCCAGACTCATGCCCAGTAAGTGTGGGGAAATTTTGGACTTGAAGAGTCTGAGTCTTCTCTGCCCTTGATGTGCTATATGATACAGGGTATATTGCTTTGTTTTGGTACAAAGCTTTAGCATCCCGTCCTTCCTGCACTTTCCTGTGTACATCATTTTCATGCATCTGATTCCAAACAGTGAGCCTGATGTGTGGAGCTGGGGCTCTGTTGATAGGCTTGAAGGAGTACCCCCAGTTCACCCTTGTTTGTCAGGATCCAGCTCATTGTTATCTCCCCTAGAAAGTGTCCCTAACTAGTTAAGTCACACAGGGGTCTCCATCACAGCACAGAACTCTGTCTCTCCCCTCAGCCACCCCTGCCCTGAGCCTTCTACTGGCAGAAATCATACTGAAAATGTCTCTGCACCCAAGGTCCCAGCTTAGAGCCTAACACAGAGCAGGCACCAGGAAATGGCTGCTGAATTCATTATTTAATCAACACATGATGAAACCTGCTCCTCTGAGAGGACCTAGAAAGGTGTGCTTTGGCGGAAGGCCACAGCTGTTGCCAACCAGGATAGGGATCGAGTCCCCTGGATTCTTTGAGAGTCCTGTGAGTGAGATTAGTCATGGGGCGGTTGCGGAAAGTCACCGTCATCCAGACAGGGCTCTCTCAGCAGATCTCATGATACACATGAGGATCCTATTCATTTCTTTAGTGTCCAGTGTTGCAATTTTCCAGCAGGAGTTTTTTCCTTTTTCTATTAAGATCTGCAGAAAAAAAAATCTGCAGACATATGAGGACATTAACTGGCATCCATGCTGACTTTAAGACCTTTTTATACTTTTCATACCTTGATCAAAAGGCACAAGGTAAACTCAGTAGTGTGTGTATACATTGTCCATGGCCAATGTGGACACCTAGGTGGCTTGCCTGGGCCTCCTGAGCCACCTCTGCCTCTCATATGAAGCTCATGACTCTGGATTTCCAGGTTAGCCTGAACCAAGTAACATCTGATGTCCTGAGGTTTGCTCACACAACTCTGGTCTGCTACAAACTAGCTGGACCCTTTGGGGATACACTCAGACATGAGGAAGCACATAGACCAAGCTGTAGGTGCTCATTGAGCCCCACTATGGGACCAGCCTGTCTCACTGTCCTCTGCCTGATCCCTTACCCACAGCAGCACAGGCTGTGACCCTGAGTCTCAGAAAGGCCCCTCTGGCTATAGAGAACAGGCTGGATAGAGAGAGACTGAGGCAAGTGACCAGGGTTGCAGGCTCTGTGTTGTTCTGCTCACTACCCTGAAGACCACTTTAGCTGCAGGAAAGGTTTATTTCCACTGACCACTTCCCTGCTTCTCTGTCCAAAAAGAGAAGGGCTTTCTAGGTGATTCTAGCCCTGCAGATAACCTTGGGGTGCCCAGAGACACTCAACTCATTTCTCCCATGCACTTTATTGCTTTTCCTCCCCACTTTCTCCACTTCTGATTTGCTCTTATGAGCACTCCTACCCTCCTCAACAGACTACAAGGTCCAAGTCCCTGTTTTGGATTCTGTTTTGGGGGAGGAAGATGAAAAAGAAGACAGCCACAGAAAGGTCTGATGCAATAGTGCAAACAGATGTCAAGGGCCCGAAAAAAGACAGGGCCAGGAGAGTGAAGAGCACTGGCTGTTCCCAGTGAGGTTTCAATAGCAGAATGGGCAGGACGTGGCAAGTGATT